TTTCATTGCTTCTCTGTCCCTCATTTAAGGTACTGGACTCCATACTATTTTATTAGCTGTGTAGCATTTTCCTGAAGGGGGCAAACATTTCTTCCACTGTAAAAATAATTCCTTTTAAGATATAAAACTTGATAGTATCATAGCATTCTGCCGCTAACGCAAGGATTCCGTTGAGCTGGAGAAATGTATGTCTTCCATGTCACTCGTAATTTAAAACCTAAGCATGAGATACACTTCTGAAATCTCAGTTGTGTTTCTGGATCTCAGATAGTAGCATGGTATTAAACTAGAAAAAATTAATTGCTTTCCCATTGTTGCTCGCTGCTGGAATGATTTCTTTTAAATCATGGATTCTGCCGAACCCAGACAGGAAGAACTGTACTGTAATTCAGAAGCTGACATACGCTGTCTTGCCCACATTTCTCACAGATGCTCAGCATTCAAAGAAAAGAATGCTCCTGTGATTTGGGAAACACTGACTATTGCAGCATCTATTTTATCTGACATGGCAGGAATTGAGCTGCTATACATAAGTGGATTTTGTGAGCAACTGAAGTATACCGCTTTGAGTGCCACGTGTTTTAGAAAATGTCAGGTTTTTTTTTTTCTGCAATAAAGTCTGTCTAATGTATCACACTTATTTCCCCTCTCCTTTCTTCTCCCATCCTAAAGGCATTTTAACTTTTTTATGGGGAGGTTTACCTCTACACTCTTGGAGAAGTAGATACCCACTTGGGTATGTAGTGATGTCCAAGACTTTGGTGTCTGGGCTCTGAGTTCTATCAACTTCTGGGCAGACAATAAAATTTTACTGTTCAAAAAATAAAACGAGCCATTTCATGCCTAAAAGGAGAAGTTGTAGAACTCTATAGCCAGTGGTTATGCCACATGAGGAGCCCTTTTGGGAGCTCCATCATTTATTACTTCCAAAAGAACACACATACCTAAGTTTGCTATGCAAACACAACCTTCAGATGAGCCGCACTTTTCCATCTAGTCATACTCCAAACTCCCTGTCACACAGAAATTCTAAATAAAATTTTAAACTCATTTAAATTTTTTTTTTATTTTATTAGTACATGTTTTCAGTTCATGCAGTTTACGATCATCTTGGGGAGATGGGCAGACCACAGCTTGTTTCTTTTTTAAATCCCCTTCCCCTTGGCTACCCTTCCTTCAATTCCCTTATCCCCTTTTTCATTCTTGTTGGTATTATGAATGTTAACTCAGGTTATGGTGCATAATGTTTACATTAATTGAGATTGTTAGGTTCTGATGTATGGAATAAATTTATTCTAGTTATTTCCTCTTCCCCTCCTCCTCACCCCTCATGCTTTTGCCCTTGGACCACTTCTCTTTTGCAAGAGATCCTTTTCCTTGTCCCTTTCTATCCATACTTATTCTCTTTGTCAGTTTTATTTAATCATTCAAAGAAGCAACTCTTTGATGCATTGATCCTTTATATTGTTTTCTTAGTCTCCATTCCATTAATTTCTGCTCTGATCTTTACAATTTCCTTCCTCATATGACCTTTGGGCTTGACTTGTTTTTTTTTTCCCAGAAGCTTGAGGTTCAACATTAGGTTTTTTATTTGGGTTCACTCTGCTTTTCTGATGTAGGTATTTACTGCTATAAATTTCCCTCATACAACTGCTTTCATTGTGTTCTGTAAGTTCTGATGTTGTACTGGCATCATCATTTAATTGTAGAAACTGTCTAATTTTTTCTTTAATTTCATCTGTGACCCATTGGTTTCAGGAGGGTGTTATTTAATTTCCATATGTTTGTAAAGTTCTTGTGGTTTCCTTTGGCACTGATGTCCAAGTTCATTGCACTATTGTCTGATTATAGGCATGGGATAATTTCAATTCCTTTGCATTTACTAAAGCATGTTTGGTGAGCCATTATGTGACCTATTTTGGAGAACATTCTAAGTGTAGGCTAGAAGAATGTGTATTTTGATGTTCTGGGGGTGGAACACTCTGTAGACATCTACTAGGTCCATTTGTTCAAAAGATTGGTTCAGTTCTAATATTTCATTGTTGATTTTATGGCTAGTTGATCTGTCTATTTGTGACAGTGGAGTATGGAGGTCCCCCACAATTGTGTTAGTGGATATTTGAATTTTCATGTCTGTTAATATTTTTTTATGTAGTTGTATATATGTATTTGGTACATATATACTTGTGATTATTATCTCTTCCCCTTGGGTTGGTCCTTTGTTGAGGATATAGTGACCTTCTTTGTCTCTTTTGCTCGGTCTTGGTTTGAAATCCACTTTGTCTGCAAATAGATTAGCTACCACTACTTTTTTCTGGGTTCCTGTCATATTGTTTTTCATCCTTTGACTTTCAGCCTATGAATTTCTTTTCGAATTAAATGTGTTTTTTGTATGCAGCCTATTGTTGGATCTTTCTTCTTGATCCATTCTGCCAGCCTGTTTCTTTGGAGCTATATGTGACCTATTTTGGAGAATTGGTCTCAAATTCTTCTTCCCTGCTTGGGAAGTCTTCTGGCTTGACTTTTGTGAACAGGACTTTTCATGTCATTCATGCTACTTCCTGCTCTTTTATTGATTCTGATCAATCTTATGTTATTGTTCTTTGCATCATCTAGTTGTTGCTAGATTGATTTCTCATTGTCACTTGTTATTTTTGAGAAATCTTTCTTTTCATGATCACTAACTGCAATCCTGTCTTCAATATCTGATATTCTGTCCTCATACTGGCTCACAGTGTTGTGTGGACTTTCAATGGAACTTTTAATTTCCTGGATATATTTTTGAATCTGTTTCATGGACTCCATCTCCTTCCTCTGTTGACTAGTCACGGTTTCAGTCATTTTCCTAGGCACCTCTATTTTTTACGTGTATCTGCTCTAGAGTCACTAAGCATGTCTTTCATGGTCACCATCTCTGTAGTTATCTGAGAAATTATTTCTGATTTGATTTTCTCTATAAGCTTGTTCATTTTTTCTAGGAGCTTGTTCATTGTTACTTCTGCTATTACCACTCACTTCAGAGAGACTAAGTGGGTGGCTTTTATATTGTTTACCTCATAGCCTCCTGGGTTTGCCTTTGGTGAGATGGTAACCTGGGGTCGCATCTTGTTTAAGTGTCTTCTCATTTTCTATTTTTTTTTAAGTTTAATTCCCAGCTTGATGCCTGTAAATTGCATATGGTAAGTAGCTTTATTGCTAATATTTAGAACCCTTAGGAAATAACTACTTTTCAGAGGTATCTTCCAAGAGTAGGGGGCTTTTCAATTTTGAGTCCATTGTAAGATCCTACCTCTTTGATTTATTGGAGATGAGATGGTGCTGCCTACTAGGTCCGGCCCCTGGGTCTTTGGCACTGGCCTATAGCATTTTTTATGACTTTTAGGCACTCTCAGCCGTGGTATACCAGGAAGAACAACTGGTTAGAACAATTATGCCACTTTGGCTAAAGTGATATAATCAGCAGTAACAACAGCATCGAACACAGCCTAGAAAATGACAAGCTGCAGTGACTTTAATTTTCTACCTTTTACTGTATGAATTTGATTTGAGGTTATATAACAAAATCTAAGATCATCAAAGTGATTTGTGAACATAATTTCTTCTACAAAAATATAAAATTACTAATTATGTTGATGTTTCATTTGACTCTTTCATCCAAACTAACCTGGTTTTCCCCCAGTGCTCTGTGCCAGACACACACATAGCTCAAAGGAGCTACCCAGAGTGGAAACTGAGGTTCATCAGGCAGGCAGGCTCTGAACTTTTACTCTGGCACATGTTTGGCTGGGACACAAATGAGTTATGTGAGTTATACCAGGGAGATTTACTCTCTGGTGCCCCAACCTAGTCACGCTCTCTTTCTCTCCGTATTTCTAGTGGCAGCTCCACAAAATCCTTTGGTTTCTCACTAATTGCCAAGCAATGTTACACAGAACTGAGAGTGGGAGAGAAAGGTCCTCTAGAAGGTTGATCTCCACTTATGAGCATTCAGTGGCTCTTCCAGAAGAGAGATTTATACATGCTGGGGTATGGGCTCATATTGGTACACTCATATCAAGGTTATGGCCCCTTTCTAGGGGATGGCTTCACCCTTTCAGCTTTGTGGCATCCTTCCATGGATTCAATATGATCTCACTGTGATTGATTGCTTCTTCAGGTCTCCTGATGTTGCTTAAAGGTGGAAATAAGGCTACTGATTTATACTAAAATGACTTCTCTCCCAAAAAGAAAATGTGGGGAAAGAAGCTGAGATAATCTTTTTACCAAGTACCATAAGATATAGATTGATATGAACAGGGGATGTAAATTGGGATGGACAGTGGGACAAAGACAGAGAAGTCAGATACAGACTAAGTTAAGAAGGTAGCACTGACCCTCCTAGGTCTACTGGTTCTCTGATTCTTTATCAAGAGACTGTCAGACCAGTGATTAAAACTTACTGTCATGGAAAGTGACGTGTAAGTTAAGAACTTCCTTTTGGCTAAGAAAGTGAAGTGAGGAGGGACAATGAACAGTGAAGAATCAGATGGCTGTGAGCTCTTTCTCAGAAGGACTTTGAACATGTCACTTCTTCTCTCTTCCCGGGCCCATAACCTTGATATGAGTGTACCAATATGAGCCCATACCCCAGCATGTATAAATCTCTCTTCTTGAAGAGCCATTTATGCGCTCATAAATGGAGATCAACCTTCTAGAGGACCTTTATCTCCCACTCTCAGTTCAGTTACTGACTTACTGGCAAATTCTTTCAATCATTGAATGGCTCTTTGTCTCACTGGGTGGAATTCTATTTAAAATTCCTGTCTGGGGCACATGCAGTAAGTGGAGAAAAATGTATGACAGTTTCCTTGGTCATTAATAAAGGGCCCCAAGGAAAGAGGCAAAGTAGTTTGTGTTAATCATTAAATGTTGCCTTTTGGCCAGTTCTGAACTCTTGCTGTGGTTCATGTTTGGCCAGGACACAAACAAGTTAGGTGGGTTATGTTCCCAGGAGGGAGCTACCTGTGCAGTAGTGGCTGGCTGGGCTCTGAGCAGATAACACAGTTGTTGGTTCTTGGCAGAAACAGATCACTTAGAAAGGAAAGATAATTCCTTCTTTGAGTCACAACAAGGCGAAGCATAAAAAGGTACTGTTTGATTCAGAAAACTGAGGTGCTGTCTGTCTTCTGAGTTTTGCATCCCTGGCTAATTCTGAGGTGGGCAAGAGGAAATGGGAGGACTACAGCAAAAGCCCGGTTGCTTCGCTTTCCAATGGTGGGAAGTGGAGAAAGGAGGGAGCAAGAAGGGACGAGGAGGGAGAGAGGGCAGAGGAGAAAGGAGGAAAAGGAGGGGAAGGAAGATTGACCGCAGGCACCCTGCTCTCCTGTGTGGGGGAAAACCTTCTAATAAACTTTCTAAATAAAGGGAGACTAAGTTTATCTCTTGGAAAAATTAGTGGATCGATTAATCCATACTAAGAAAAGTTACATTTATCTTTGGTTAGACTGTTCTATTTTAAAAGAAAAAGACACTCTCAACATAGAGTTTTTAAAAACGTGCGAATACTTATTTCCATTGTTCCAAGCTTGGGAATATGCTCCAAAGTGAAATATTAATCCTACAGCCAGATTGAAAATAAACTCTGCTGTGCTGAGCACATTGCTTTGTGTGGAAGAAGCAAGTCAGAGCCTGTGTTCTGGACCATGTAGCAAACAAGCACTCATGAATACTCTTCTCTGTGCAGTAGGTGAATTTGTGAAAAATCAAATGTTTGTTAAATTGAACTATATTCCAAGTACAACTAAATATTTGTAGAGATTTTTGCAATTTAAAGAACTCATGAATCTACTTGGAAATTGTAGAAGTCTTTTCATAAGTGCTGTGAAATTCCATCCCTACCTCATTTGATAATGACCGAGGGCAGGTATGCTGTCTGCTTTCCCAGATCCTGGCACATCTGGTGAGCATATAGTGAATTCTCATAGTGTTAAGTTAATGTGAATGATTTTAAACTTTGGGCTATCTTAATCAGTATATACCTGGGTAATAAGTTTACTGCAAGTGTTTTGGAGATATAGGACTTTTGTGTTTTCTGAAATGGTGTAACTTCTACTAATATCAGTGTTTTTTTTTAAACTTTAAATTAGATATATATCTAGTAAAACATGTGTGTATTTAATATTTTTTTTTTTGGCATTTCAGAAGACCTCAGAACTGAAAAGGATTTTGTATTCTCTGGGGTTGGACAGTGGCTTAATACCCTTCCTAAAACAGGCACTGTGTGGGCATACCGGGGCTGGGTGGCACTGGGTGGGCATCAGAAGAAGCATTAGTCAGGTTTCTGTGGTTTCTATCTGTCCTACATGGACATGAAAGCCATTTTTCTCACTTGAGGCAAAACTGGATTTACAACATTTAAAATATATCCGTCAGTTAGAATTTACTGGGCATTGTGTGGGATCTTTGCACTGAAAGACTTGAAGATAGAAGACTGGTACCTGGGTCTCCTCAAAGAAGGTTCCTTCTGAAAGATGAATCATGTGTGGTGGTCAGGCTCGCAGGACATGAGCAGGAAGTTTCAAAGGAAGGTCAAAGAGAGCTGAAATGGCAGGGGAAAGAATTGGAGGGAGGAGGGTCAGGCTCTCATGGTGCCATGGAAACAGCGGGGGGGGGGGAACCAGCAAGGGACCAGGCGGACCCAAAGCGGAGGCTGGGGTGTGGAAGTGCTGCCTGAGCACTGAGGGGATGCCGTGGCTGCGGTACAGGGTTTGCAGTGGAGAGCCACGCGAAGGAAAGCTTGTAAGGTAGGACCGGGCACAGGAACACAGCACCCCTCCGTTAATCATACTCTCTAACTTAGGATATTTTTAAAATTCAGATTTTGTTTAGTAACAAGTTAATGAGAGATACTATTTTTATTTACCCTTCTTAAACATACATAAAATAAACTGGGGCAATAAGAAGAGCTGAGTGGTGATAGTTTTCTGTAAGATTCACAGCTGATCCCTTTTGCCCAAGCTTGGAAAGAATGCGTCCCTTTCAGGATACTGGGCCCATGTTCGTCTTATCTCCTTAACATCTTCTTTCCATAGAGTGAAGAGATAGTATGTGAGAAAAAGGACAGGAGTTTTTACTTTATTTTTAAATAAAGCACACACAAAAAAGCTATGCTTCTCCAATCAACAATGAAAATGTTTTTAGTGGCTGAGAAATCTTACAAGCATTGACTTAACTGGACACCATGACTGGCTGGGTGAGCTTGCTGATAAGTGTTGAAGCACTACTTTTGTCAGGTGAGTAGAACATGTTTAAATGGGTTATAAATAAGAGCTCATTGGGTTACCTTTCTGGAGAACTATTACTACTAATTAAAATATTTTAGTTGTACACTATGAATATATATATATATATAATTTCTATTTGTCAATTAAGAATGTAAATTAAAAGTGTTATTTTGGAAAGAGCTATTGAAATGCCTGTATCTGGCTTGAAAATTTCTATTTAATAGTTGTTTTTTCTGATTAATATTTTCTGATTAATATTAATATCATGTACAAATTCGTAATGGATAGAAATGTCAACTTTTAACAGCCATTGGCAGTTACTGTGATAGTTCAAAGCTTTCAGTAATAATTTATAACCTTTCTTTTATGATTTCTTTTTGGGCTATATGATGTAATTCCTTTTAGGTTTTATTACCCTACCATCCCTAAGGGAGTAACTTATCATAGTGATTAATTACTTGCTTGTACTGCAATCTTCTTTTCTCAAATCGTGTCTGCAGTTTTTTGTGAATTTGGTTATCTGTGTCTTCTTATGACGTTCACTTTTGTCTTTGACTGAGAACACCCAGTTATCTCTGAGGGACAAGGGTGGTCTGCTGGCTGGGCCTGCCATGATGGTCATACTGATGTCACTGCTGAATCTCCCTCGGGTGTGACATACGGCACCTCATGACTCACTACACATGGGGCCCTGAGGTGGGCACAGGTGTGGATTATCCTTTAATTTGTCTGCCATGGAAATGAAAAAGTTTCCCCTAGATTACACTTTCCTTGCTTATTACCTCACTAAGGAGCTGTCTGATTTTTTTTTTTTTTTGGCTTCCTTGAAGAGGTTTCCCTTTGCTAAGGCATGTCCAGAAGCATTATCAGAAATGGAAGGATTTGTTAAGGTGAGGCTTAATAAACAGATGGTCTGTTTGGTAGAACCCAATCTAGCCTACCACATGAGTTCCATAGTGACGTATTTAAAGGAAATTTTAGCAAAGATCTTAGCCCTCTCTGAAGAGTCAAGACAAAAATATAGGAAATTCTGTATTAATTTGGGGAACCTTTCATGTACTCTAAATGGAAACCTAGAGAACAGGGTACTAGCAGGAGAATTGAAGTAGATATAGCTACCAGAAGTTTCTCCCCTCCATAGGAAGTGGAAATACAAGAAAGAGGTGATGGTCTTACACTTAGATACGGGTGCTTGATTAGAGGCAGGAAAGAGAGGAGTAGCAGCACAGGTTCAGGTAGAAACCAAATGCGTCCTTCATGCCGCTTCCAAAGGAAGTGGAAATCTAAGATCGTTCTGGTGAATGCTGGGATTCTGGGGTCTAAAATGACAGGGGTCAGTTTTCCACGCACTGGGAGTCCTGAAGCTGTGTTCCCCAGACCAGGAGCACCTGGTTAGAAATGCAAATGCTCAACCAGAAACCCTGGGGATGGGACCCAGTGATCTGTGCTGTCTCAGGCTCTTTGCTGAGTCTGATGCACACCAAATTCTGCTTTAAAGTACTGAGGAAGCTAGTGAATCAAATCTGAAAAACACCATTGTATTTTTTACTTATTTACAGTACCTCACCTGAGTTTACATATTGAGCCTGAAGAAGGCAGCTTGGCGGGTGGAACATGGATCACAGTTGCATTGGATGGTAGGTTCGTGTTTTGCCAAGTGTGAGCGTCGTATCTATAGGCCCCCAGTTCTACAGAAAAGAAGTCCTTGCTTTCCTTGCTTAAGGCTGGGTGCAAAGGACGGTCTGAGAAGGATGGACAGATCGGCTTACTCTATTTTTCCAGGTACTCACTGGCTAATATCCTGGTAGTCTCGCATTGAAGTCCGTTTTCCTCTCTCAAGTAGGGATGGGATTCTAGGAACCCTAAATGAGGTGTTATTTCCCTTATCTCCCAGTCAAGGCTTCGGCTTTTTCCTTTTAGATGATTCTGAACCATGGCTTAGCGTCTCCACTTGTAGCACGGCGCAGAGTAACTCTGAGGGCTGAAAATGTCTTTCCTGGTTTGAGGCAAACTTGCAGAGAGGCTACTCTCCCATAAGCCCCCACAGAAGACAGCTCCATCATACAGCAAGCACAAATGCCTTTGGAAATGAGCATTCACTTGATCCTTAGACAAACTGGATGTGTTACATTGCCCCCATGTGGCCACATTTTTGCATTAACCCTTGTGGATTACAACTGCTCAGCCTCAGATTTCCGCTTTCCTTTATGCTTAGGTTTGGACTCGAGTGTGCTTTACTCCAGCAACGGCTCTCAGCTGGAGATAAGCCTGGTGAACGTGGCAGAGCCTGCCCTGCCCCGGGTCCCCTGTGACGTCTCTCCTGTTTTCTTGGATGCGCCTGTGGTGATGTGCCAGACCAGGTATCCCTGTTTAGAAGACGATGACCGGACAGGATGAGCGGGTTCTGCTCAACTCAGTAGCTTCCGGCGGCACATTACAGCTATTCTTATTGTGACTACAATGATCAACTACTGTAGTTTTTGGAAACTTTCTGTGTGAACGTACTTTTTAGAAGATCTCCACCAGGTCTCTAGGGATTAACAGAAGATGAGTGCATGGGGAAGAATTTAAAGATATTTACAGGGAGGGGCTAGATGGTATTTGCATTTGATTTTTGCGAGGAGCCTTATAGCTATTAATATTTCACTGAATAGCAATGCTTTGCAATGTAAAGTACTCACCATTTGTAAGGATTATGTATAAATCCAAAACCAGTCAGGAAAGAAATTTGCTTTGGCTCAGTTTGTTGCTCGGTTTGATTTTATTGTACCTCTGCTGAGGAGATGCTTGGACAGGTAATCTATCGTTCTACTCACATTCCCGTTTACCTAGGAAGTTTGCGCAAGTTCCTTCTTTCTGCGTGTGTGTCTTAGAGATGCTGGATGGAAATGAAACACTGAGAAAGGAAAGGCATTGCCATTTCCTTTGCTTTCTGTTCCTACTTTGAGGAAAGCTTTCCTTCTCCATATTTGCTCATTGAAATCCACTGGCCACGCTACAAATGCCATCTCATCCCTGAACATACTACTCAGCAAAATCTTTTCCCTTTTTAAAAGGGGAAGAAGGAAACTCTTTTTTTCAATCACAGGATGTATCTGTGCTCTCATCCTTTTTGTTTCTTTGTTTATCAGTTTTTATTTTTTGAGACAGGGCCTTGCTATGTAGCCCAGGCTGGCCTTGAGCTCACTATGTAGCCCAGGCTGGCCTCAAACTCCCAGTGATCCTTCTGCCTCAAGCCTCCCAAGTGCTGGGATTACAAGTGTGCACCACCACATCTAGCTTATGTTCTCTCATCCTGAAAGGGAGATTTTTTGGTAATTTACACAAAAGTACAACATGTGTACTCTAGTGACCTTGTTTCTTCAGTCTTGTGTTTCTCATGATACTTGGCCAGCTGGATTTGTTATGTTCATTCTCACAGAACAAGTGCTTCAGATGTAGAGGTGCGTTTATTTGCACCACCGTAGTGCTTCTGGAGCACTGCACAGTACCTTGTAAGCAGACAATGCTCAATCCATATTGGTTTAAAAACTGAGATATTATACTTTAGGTTTCACTGTACATGTAGGCATAGACTGCATACAAAAATTTCCCATGAAATAAGTAAAATTCTAAGGATTTACATATTTTCATCTCCTCAATTCCAACATACTAATGACATTAAGATGCCTTGCTGGTTTTATGACATCTTTTTAGAGAAAAAGAAATATAGCCTCTTCATTATACTAATTGACTGGAAGATGGGTATCAAATTCAATTAACATTCAAGTGTAAAAACATATAATTTATCATCAATGAAATAGTGCCATATTACTATAAAAAGATATAACTGCTTTCTCTGAAACAGTCATTGCAGCATTAAAATCATCACTGTTCAAGAATCTAGTTTGAAAGTAACTATAAGTGGATTCAGAAAGGTAAAAGAGGAAGTATAAGAAAGTTTGGTTGGCTGTGTTTTACAAATCCTGGGAGAAAATTTGAAGTGGTCAAGTGAGCTGGTCGCTTGGGAGTTCAAGGCTTCTGATTCCTGAGGATTCTACTTTCTGTCCTCAGATCTCTGCCATCCGAAGCACATGAGGGTCTGTACGCTCTGGAAGTGCGCTCAGGCGGACAGGTTGTGGGTAGCCCAGGTCCAGGACCACAGGACAACTGTACTTTCAAGGTGGGTGCAGAGGATGCAGAAATGTGGGTTTGCCTCGCTTCAGTCTTCTTGTGTTGCCAGCAAGTTATGCCAGCCAGAATCTACTTCCACAGAGTAACAAGAAAGATGGATAACATCCATGGGGTTTCCAATGAAAGACAAGTATTGGACACTGTGTGTCAGGCTCTTTCTGACTGCTTTATGTACACTGTGAATAATATGTAATACTCAAACCAATTTTATGAAGTACCAATTTACTTCACTGTGTTTACAGAGGAGCAGCTGAGGCTCAGGGAGATTAAATAACTTGTCCGTGTCATCCAGGCAGTCAATGGCAAAACCAGGATTTGAACCTGCCTCTGACCCTAATTCCACACTTGAACTGAAGTTTGCAGAGGAGCCACAAAGGTTACCTCTGTGGGTCAGTGTTTCTTTTAAAGTGAGCTCAGTGAAGGGACTCAGAGACCCAAGTTTCCAGTGAAGAGACCCACATTCTAACTGCCCCGTGGCTTCACGGTAGATTTCTGCTACTCTTCCCAGTGCTAGACTGAAAAGGGAATTTCCTGGTGAAATTATCGTTTATGGGGCTTGGAGGGGAGAGAGAGAGAAAGAAGCGGGGGAAGAGGAGAAGGAGAAGAAGGAGGAGAAGGAGGAGAGGGAAAAAAATAAAGAGGACAGTGTCTGACTTAATTTAGAGCCTATCTATACTGGAACTTAGCTTCAGGTTTGGTTCAGCCTGAGGTCCATTTCTGGATAGTTTTGCACTAAAATGATCTCCGAAGGGTCAGCTCTAGAGGCAGAGCTTTGGCAGTGCTCTTAAGAGGCAGACCTTTGGCAGTGCTCTTATTTTCTTAAGAGGCAGAGCTTTGGCAGTGCTCTTATTTGCAAAAGCTCCTCCATTTTAAGAGCAGTTTCAGGGGCTAGGGGTTTAGCTCAGTGGCAAAGCGCCTGCTTGGCAAGCACAAGGTCTTGAGTTCGATTCCTAGTACTGGAAGAAAAACAAAACAAACAAATAAACAAAAAAAAAGAGCAGTTTCAAAGAACTCAATTGAGTTACTCACTGCTGCTCGTTTACAGCAAGACCCCACCTTCCAAATTCCTGTCTAACATGGTTCAGGTCTTGTACAGGCAATTCGGGTTGGAAATGGAATTTGCTGTCCATTTACACTTAACAATTTACTTTTCAGTCCGTGGAAATCTTGTCTGCTGTAAGTTTGCTTCTGCACATGCAGAGCAGAAAGAACAATAGTTACATCATCCTTTCCTATTAGAGGCTGTGCTACCACCTCTACACTCTCTGAAGGAATATAAAAGGAGGGAGATGGCCAGTGTGCTCCTTAATTACCGTGCCCCTTTTCACCCCACACAGTACTTTTCTTACTTAGTAAAGGATCAGGTAGGAGAGACGGGGAAAGAAGAGAAACACAGCCTAAAATTGCACATCAGAGAAGACAAGCATAGTGTGGTGAACCGATGAGAAATCACCAGGGATGCAGTTAATGAGAGGCATTCCGAGCTAAATAAAATGCTGTGTATCTCTCTGTTTTGGGACAGGGACTGGGGAAACTGAATATTAAAAATTAATTTCATCTTGCCAGTCCACTCCAAAGAGCCTGCTGTGGGCATGACAAGTTTGAGCGGCTCACAGAAAGTTCATAAAGCAGCTGGGGGCTTTGGCTTCATCATTCTAATCCACTGCTCCCCCTCTCTATCTTGCTGACCTCACTAGGGCTCAAGGATCAGCATGCGGGAAGCTTGATTTAGAAGCTCATTAATTTTTCACTGTCGTGTATCTTGCCTGGTGGGTGACTAGGGGCCTGTTTCTCTTAGAAATGTACTATTCTATGCTGTGTCAGTTCAGAGAGAATCATAAGGGAAGCTTTTTTTTGTGGCTTAACCCTGAGCGCACTCCATCACTTTCTGAGGGCTTGGGAGAGAGGCATAAAGGAGTTGTTTGTGCTCACAAACTTCTGGTAGAAGGATCACAGGCAGTGGCGAATCTTATACTTCAAACTGGAAAACAAGAGGAGTGCTTCTCTGCTTGGGTGGAATTTTGTTGTTCCATTTTCCTCATTTTGGAATTTGTGCAAGATGGGGCAATGACCATGCTCGCCCTCCCTATGCTCCTGTGGTAAAGTTTTCCAGTTGAAATGACATTAGCATGATGACCATCCCAGTGGGGATGGACTGTTTGGCTGGTGTGTGTGCAACTGCATTCATTTTTATCTTTTGGTGAGATCAGAGCCAGCTCCCAATCTGCGAAGTTGCAGCATTCCGATCTTGACCCCCTGGCCATACCTGTTTTCTGTGCACTACTGTGTAATCTTTTCCTTTAGTGAATGAGGAAGATACCCTCGATGACACACTGTATAGCTATGTGGATCAATACTGAAAACCCACACTTGACAGGCACCATGAACTTTGTTGAAGTGTCTATTGATTCTTAAGGTCTGTTTAGGGTTGTTGATTAACAGGTTATTCCCTGGTGATGCTCTGCCTGGACAGATGGACTCCTGTGGTGTTGGATGCAGACCAAACAGAACTATTTGCTTTAGTGTGTTCTTCAAGTGGGAAACACTGCAGGGAGTGTGAATGGAGGCTGTCTGGAGGACCAGTGAAGATGAAGGGGTGAAGCCTCTTCCTGGGTAGAGGACAGGCTCATGGGTCAAAGCTTGGTCTGGCCAGTCCATCCTCCTTCCACCCTGCCTCCTCTCCTTAAAGACTTATTATTACTTCGTGTTGGGAAACTTTGGACTCTTCCCCCAATTTTTAAACTAAAATCTATAATAAATTGCTGTGAACTATAATCATCCTTCTAGTGCTACAGAACACCAGTACTTATTTCAAACTGTAGTTTGGTACCTGTTATATGACCTCCCTCTACCTCTGGGCTCTTCTACCATCCTTAGCCTCTAGTTGGTCAGGCTATCTTTTATGCTTCTCCATTTCTTCATACTGGTCCTGCTGTAATTTTCTCACAGAGTGGTAACTATTCTTAGGCTAAGCCAGATGCCTGTAGATGTAGTGGAATTCCTCAAATAGTCTCAGCTTATCTTTCCCTCCCAGTAGTGCATCAGTCATCAAAGATTGGGCTACTCTGTTCACTTACAAAAATTCAAATGTCTTCTGCAACCAGGCTGTGCAGAACTTGCGTCTAACATGATGTATTTTGAGTAGAGGGGTATTGTGATTTGATTTGGAGTGTTAGGACCAGGCTTTGGGAGGCTCATACCTCTCCTCTTGTTACCATTTCCCTCCTTCTTGCAGAAAAGAGTTGCTTCCCATTTCTTGAATCTTTTGAATAATTTTCCTTCCAACAGGGACATTCCAGCCTTCATTAAGTACCTCATTCATATATACATCCACCTACTCATTTTTCATAGCTTGCTGATTCCTACCAAGATGCTGGCTGATAATGATTTAAAACAAGATCCAAAATGGAATTAAAACATCGACATTTTGGGTGATGGCTCACCTACTTTTCTTTTGGTAAAATGTGTTCCTGGGGATGGCAGGTTGGCAGGCAGAAACAAGCTTTTCAAGATTTGGTACAAGTAGAGAACTGTATATCTTTGATCAAACTCACTTTATATGTAAAAGAAATATATTAGTACCTGTCATTTCTGCTTCATAGAAATATGGTAATAAAAAGAAGTGGGAGGGAAGGTGGTTTGAGAACACACATCCACATACTCAGTTAGACTAATGTTTTGGGTGGAATGGCTACTACCTCTCACGTTCATGGATACTTTAATAAAATTCTCTTTTGTGATCATATTTTTTAAACAGTTTTCTAAGGCACAGACACCCGTTATTTACCAAGTTAATCCCCCAAATGGAGTTCCAGGTAAGAAATCTTGTGTCAAATTGAAATAACACAAAGGTGGTTGGAAACTCTTCTGTCTAGGTGGGTGATCTCAATGAATGGGACAATTTAGCTTCTTTGCTGAAGTTGTTTTGAGAACAAGTGTCAGCCTCTGGTTCATTTTTAGCCTAGTTGGTTTCTCCTTTGGGGACTTTTGTCCTATTGCTTCTGGGGTAAGAAACCCAAATATGATAAAAGAAAAAGTCCAGCAAAAATCAAACCAGTTAGTGCTAAAGAATGGAGGAAACTGAAACCATTTCCGCTCTTAACTTTATAACGATCCACATTATAACAAACTTTTATTAAAACTCTACTATGTGCCAGGTTCCACTCTAAGCTCTTCATTTATATTATCTGATTAGGTTTTCATAAAGGACCAATGATACAAGAGTTATTATTATTTCCATTTTGACAAGCTGAGATTTGAACCCAGAGAGGCCCAGAGATCTACCATTTTGCTTTGTGTTCAGTAATGTAAATGTAAATCACTCGAAAGGCCATTAGCCCTGAACCATATTTAGATGATTTGTTTGTGAGTTAGAGAATACAGATCTATGAAGGTCAGTAAGATAGAAGAGAAGAAGATTGTGTACAGTTGCGGGATTTAGATAAAAAAGGGATTGCTACTGATAGATTCTGGAACTGCTAAATCTGCACTAAAAAAGGAATAAACATAGCTAGGATTATATATAGTTTGCAGTCTTATTCTTTGCAACTTCCTACCTCTATTTTGGGATTTTTATTTAGTTAGAGTTTCCAGAGTGACCTATGTGGATATATAAGCCATTAAATGTTTATATATAGCTTTATCTAAATGCATAAACTGCTCTAATTGTTTTGATTGGCTTGATTAATCATGAATGCCAGAATAAATATCTATGTTATTGAAAAATATTTGTGCTTTATTTGAACATATGTGTAGACACAGATTAAAACACACACACACACATACACATGTATATGAAATTGACATTATTTTACTCACGTGGATTTTTCACAGCTCTGTTTCATTCCATTAGTCTGAGTAACCAAGACATGAAATTGCTTTATTAAATTTAAATCACATGCAGATATTTTGGCTCCTGCTGCTGGAGTGTTGGAAAGAGCTTGTTAAGATGCCAGAAGTCTTGTTAGGGTGAGGGATGAGGAGGGAGTCAGCCACTAGCGATGTGAAATGGGGTGTCAGTGAGCACCCAGATTTGTCAGGCCGGTTCCTCCAACTGAACAGGAGTTCTGCACACTGTTTCTTCCACCTTCTGCGGGGGTGGCGATTGGTGGCTGGCCCGGCTGCAGTGGTTCCTCCAGGCATGAACTACATGGCTGCATCTTTGCAATCACTTTCCAGATGATTACTCTCATTTCATGTGGGAAGCCTCCCCAGTGCAGCAGCCAGTGAGGTGGTGGAGGAGGTGAGGACAGGAGCAGTTGGAGTTCCATCTGTGCTTAACAGTCCTTTACTGTGATGAGGGCTCCCCTGGCCATGCTCTGTGGATTGGCTCAGCCATTCATCAACCTCTGCATGGGCTTCTTTGTTTAGGAGCAAAATAAAAGCTCACCGGATTTCCTAATTTCTATAATTTGTTATTTGTTTTTAAAATTGTGTTTATCGAAACTAGAAGTCTGGCCCATTCACACTAGGAAATCAATGCATCAGCTCTCTTAATTAGAGAGAAGAATTCTTTCAGTTTTTAGCAGAAGCAGAAAACTCTTGAAGTGCCACACTTTCATGAACTCTATGACCTTTGCCTAAGTCATTAGGTTCCCACCATTTCTACCCATGTACCCTTACGATGGTTGTATATCATTTGAAATGTTCCTTTTATTTCAGTGCAAGGTGTTCTGTGTAAGGCCCTTCTTAGTTCACAAATACCCCATGGAAGGAACATGTTGATGCTGTTCTTTAATGGTCCTAAGTGTCCATGATGAGATTCCAAAGCCTTGTGGATTCAATGACCTCATAAACCTCATAGAGACCTGTTTCTCTTCCACTTTTTGATGTTTTATATTACTAAATAATACCTCTCTCATCTCTAAGCATTTTCTGTGATATAGAAAATCAGAGTATAGATGCCTAAATTCCCAACTTAAAAGCCTCATCATGTGGTGAATTTTAACTATATCATCATGCTGTGATGTGTCTGTCTAGAATTTTGTCTTGTGCAGTTGCTCAAGACTGAGTGTAGCTATATTTCCTATTGGAATAAACCAACTCATATAGTACCTGGTAGGGGCTCACAAGCTCTTTTTGAGAAGGAACTATGTTAGTGTGAGGTAGTGCTGGGAGTGCGCCTTGAGGAGAGGTTTGCTGTATCCCATGCTTGTAGATTCAAAAGAGGAGCAGAAGAGAACCTAGGGAGAACCTTGCTACCCAGTGGAAATCCCAGAAAGTTGCACAGAGCACACTTAGAGATGGAAGTCATCATCCCTATCTATATCAGTGGGTTAAGCAAACGTAACTATTGCCCAGACTGACCTCAAACTCTTGCAAATCAAGCAGTCCTCCTGGCTCAGTTGGAATAGCTGGGACCATGGGCACATGGCATCATGCTTGGCATGTCCTGTCTTTGAACATAAACTTATTTATTGAATGAATGGGACGTGCAGTGTCCATCCACTAATCCATAATACAGGCTGCTTTGCACCCTTCTTTAGTTCCTGTCCATTTAGGTCATCCATGGTATTTATCTTTTGTACTTTGAGATCTGAAAAATAGAATCTCTGAAGACCCTCAGAATATTTGATATGGATTTCTTCATATTGCTTTTTATTTTAGTTATTATTTTAATGACACATTAACTTGCACATATTTATGGGGTACAGTTTGATGTTTCAAATCATATACACATTGTATAATGTTCAAATCAGCATAAGCATATCTTTCTCTTCAAATATTTGTCATTTATTTGTTCTGAAGACATTTAAAATCTTCCAGCTTTTAATACAAGTGCAGTACATTATCGTGATCTACATTCACCCTATTGTGCAGTGGAACACCAGAATTTATTTTTTCTATCACTCTTGATGGCTAACTTTTGTTCACCCCTCTCTTCTCCCCAGTCTCTGTTAACCACCATTCTAGTCTCAGTTTCTATGAAATCAACTTTTTAAAACTCCATGTGAGTGAGATCACGTGGTACCATTTGTTTGTTTTAGCAAGTATCCAGAAGAAAGTCCCATGGAGATGAGGCACCCCAAGGCAAACTGTTCCTAAGTCTCACTTTGGGTAGGTGATCTACACAGAGTAGACTGGGCAGTGTGCAGAAATCAGTCATCCTTCCCACACTATGGAGCTGTGAGGAAGACCTGTTATCCCTTCCATACTTTGTGCACAGACAGTCGAATCTGTGTTTGAAACAATTGCTTACTTTAGCCTTTCTAGGGAGTCATATGATCACTGGATCACATGATGGCCTTTAGTATCATATAGTTTATAAACAGTGTTAGTTTAGGCATTATGCCAGCTTTGGCTGGGTATATGTAACCCCAAACAAACAGTTTAATTATACATTTGGAGTTTGGCCTAAGTACATTAAAAATTTTAAAACTCTTCTTAAAACAGGAAAATTAGTACATATATATGGCTGGATTATCACTGGGAGGCTGGAAACCTTTGATATCGATGCTGAGTACATTGACAGGTAAGCATGTGTTTGTATGTTTGCTTCTGTGTTCACCAAATTATGTGTTTGCTGGACGGCTTGCTGGGGCCAGCTTCCATGATGCAATACATTTTAAGCTGCAGGCACAGAATCAACTATGTTTCTCTTTGCAGTTTATGTTCCCTGATGAGCTGGGCTTCAGCTTTTATTTTGTTAATGTGATTGTGTCTGGACAACAAGCTGATCCATTTATTTACTGACAACTAATCACTCTAGGCTTTGTGTGAATTGTACGGTAATTGCATCTGTAGATTTTTCTTTTAGGTTCTACCCTTCTTCCCCTTGCTGCTCAGGCTAAAGTAAATTCTTTGTAAAATGATATGTAAACCTCAAGCCCCTTATAGTGTTCTTGTCCAGTTGTCGTCTATTTGTGGAGTTAGAAATTCTGTTAGTGGGTCGGAGAAGAACACAGGCTCAGGTACTAATGATCATTGAGCTTTCAGTATTTTCTAGGAGTGATTAAAATGTCAACACAACTTTCTTCATTGGAGTCTTGTTATGTAGAAAATTTTACTATTGAATCATCCATGGCAGGAAGAGAGGAGAATAAGATGGAAGATATTGAAATTGGGGAGCTTGTGGGAAACTAAGAAAACTGTCATCATTCAGCAAATGAAACATTATAGGAAGGATTTATAAAGTAGAAGAAGCCTAATCTCACTATTTACAAAGCTGCGCAGAGGTTACACACGGTGTCTGAATTTTCTTTCATCCCTGGATGGGTTAGAGTCGGTCTCCTCTCTTCTCCATGGCTTTGATGCTGAACTACATTTCGGGAATTAAGTAATGATCAGCTTGTCTCCAAAGGAAATTACTCTTTCTGTTGGGGATAGACATCCTAAGTACTTTCCTGACACTATACTATATTCACTGTCTGGTTGGATCTTAGGCTTGGCCAGTGATCTGGCCTTATAGAGGTGGAATGAGGCACAAATTTCACAGTTCCTCTATGAGGACCCAATACAGTCAATGTGACGATGAAGACTTTTTTGGGGGACAGGTGCTCCCTTGGCAGTGTGAATGCAGTGCTGGCCGTGAGTGTCCTCTTGGGCTGAGAATTTGGTTTAATGTCCTTTAAGGGCCCAGCTTCAGCCCCTGCCATTGTGCTGCATAAATCCAGAAGAAAATGTTCACAACTGCATTTCCTCTGACCTTTGGCACGGGTGTTTACTGGAAATATTTCATGATCGTCTCCTATGCTTTATTTCCTTTTTGCTATCCAGCCCATTGGTCTTGGAGGCTCAAGGAGAAAAATGGATCACTCCCTGTTCTCTTATAAACAGGCAGACGGGAAGCCAGTGAGTATCTTTCCCTTTTTGCCAATGTATATGTTTTGGGTTCTTTCACATGAATATAACACACACGCGCACACACATATACGCACTTGCATGCACACATACACACACTTTCTGAAAATTTAAATCACTCATAACTGTTAACTGCCTTATCTTTAAAATTAGTGGAAAAGACACAGGAATTTATTCAAAATTTGAAATGAAGTAGAATCTGCAAGTGGTATCTTTGTTGAAAGCCAATCTCTAATATTGATTAAAGACCTCTTTAGGCCAAGACTTGCTCTAATGCTTTATATTGAGGTTGTTCAACAATTTTTTGAATATGTATGGTTATTAGCCTTTTTACAGATGAAGAAACTCAGGCACACAGAAGTTTAAGAAACTTGCTCAAGATCTCACAGAGAGGAAGCCACAGAGCTGGGACTGGAACCTGTCTGACTAACCAACCTCTAGAGCTTATGCTCCTAACTACTATATTAGAACTAGCCAAAGAAAAAAATGACTGATGAGTGTCTAAATGCTCCAGTTCATATAACCAACAGCTTTCTGGGTTTTTACCTCACTCTGGACTAGGTGGATTAATCTTGCTTTGAGGGCATTACAAGAATTACATTTTATGGCTTAGCATTTTTAGGACTAGTGTTAAATAGAGCCAGATTCTATAACATAGTTTTTCCCAGTACCTTTAATGTGTTTGCCCACATTAAAGGTCTGTGTTTGGGGTTCATACATTTTGCTTGGTATGGATTATGCTATTCTTCTCATGTAATAGATTTTGGAAAGAGAGGGCCAAATGGCAGTTAGGAGCAAGTTGCATTTTGTCCCTCACACAGTGTTTGACTGGTAACATATGTATTGATAACTCTCGTTAGCATCACCCCCAAATTGCCTCGATGAGCTCATTCTACTTTAGTACCTATCAATTTTCTCTGGCTACCTCACCTCTTATGTTATGTCTTCCTTTCCTGATTAAAGAGCCAGAGCTCTGCGCTGAGCTGTTTGATAGTTCTAACCTCTGTGTGTTTTCCCCTTAGCTACCCTCTTCAGGAAGACCATGGCCTTGGGACTCTGACGTGCCGTGTGGAAGGCAATTACATAGGTCTGGTGGAGAAGTAAAATAATTTTAAAGTTTTACTCATTTCTTTCTCTGTATACAGGGAAAAAGAATGACTTTAAGAATTAGTTCTCAGGAGAATAGTAATAATGATGAGAACTATTTGTTGAGAAAACTCTAACCAACATTGTACATAGCACTCTATATAAACTAATTCAATCCCCACAATAACTAATGAGGTTGGTGGCACTCTTTTCATTTCAACAGTGAGAAAATCTGATCTGGTAACAAGTGGCTCAGGGCTTAAATCATGCTCAGTCTAAATCCATGCCTGGGCTCTTATATACTGTGAAGTACTGCATTTGTTCTTGCACTGTTGGAATTCCCCATTGCCAATGGTGCTAAACCTATGAGGTGATTCTTTTGAGCACCACTGAAGAAATGATAGGTGTAGATGGCACCATGATGGTATTGGGGCCTTTGGGTATGTGGTAGGAGCAGCCTGGCCCAGAAGAGTTGTGAAGATTTCTGTATTAATATCTTCTTCTTTATGTTTCAGGCTCTCAGAATATTAGTTTCTCAGTATTTAACAAAGGAAAGTAAGTATCTAGGAGTAGGCAAACTTGCTTTCATCCTATGGGATCTACCTCTTTCACCTTGCTGTCTCTAACATTTATAATAGATAATCCAACCATCCACCAGTGTATTTTCTTGACTTGGGTAAACATGATTGTGTCTTGTAGGCATTGTAAGTTTTTCAGTGTAGTGATGATATAGAATTCTGGGAGTTACCTCCTAAGTAATCTCAAAGTTCTGTAAATCAAAACTGTGACATATGTCTTATGTGACATACTATTTCATGGAGAATATTGTAACATTCTGGGAAGTGCTTTATTCAGCATAGAAAGGGTCCAAGTTTCAACATGCTTTGGTGAGATAAATTAGGATTGTGGACTTCTGTGTGTCTTTACTCCATTTTGTATCACCATATAATTTTCTGGGTATATTATACTTGAAAGTACAATCTCTAACCAATACTAGTTTTATTGTACTGAGAGTGGCACTTTGTGTATAGCTGTACAGTCCAAACTACAGAATTTTGTTTTCTTTCTCTCTTCCTCTCAAGAATAAAACTAATGTCTAACATCTACTGCAGGTAATTTTAGTACAAGGGCTTTTCTTTTTTTTCTTCATTTTTCATTTATCCTTCCATTTAAGGCTGTGACATCCTATGAAGTAGCTGTTATTTCCAAACAATAATTTTCTATATCAGAAAACATACCCTGTCCCACTGATATTGCTCTATGGTTACTAAAGACTGCTGATATCCCAACAGTTCTGAAGGTCACTAGAGGTTTGTTCATCATCTTCCTCTCTGTAACCAATTTTAAAAATGCAGTCTCAGATGGTGTTGTCTTAAAAATCACACTTTGTCTTTTGAAGGTCAATGGTAAACAAAAGTGCATGGCTGATCAGCGCTAAACAGGACCTTTTCCTGTACCAGACACATTCAGGTACTATTTCCCTTCATTCTAGACACTGTGGCCCTACCCCTGTGCTTCACTCAGCAATGGATTCTTCTTTCCTCTGGCAATTTATCCTTGGCCATTAACATGTGCAGCTGCCCCCATCAGCATGGGCGGCACTGTGATGTTGGTTGAGATTAAAGAGCTTCTATCAGTTTAGCTTTAGTTCTTATATACTGCTTATTGATGCTCTGAAAAATGCATTATTAAAGTAATTTCATCATTGTGAGGCCATTCTATATAAATTTAGATAATACAGATCAGCTACTTCACATGGATTCTTAACATAATCAAGATGCAAGACAAATTTGTGATCTATGAGACTGCGACTAGTGTGACACTGTGTATAGTTTTAAAAGTTTTATTTATATTTTGTGATATTGGGGAATGAACACTGAGTTACATCCCCAGCATGTTTGTTTGTTGGTTTGTTTGTTTAGCAACATGGTGTAGCTTGTTAAATTGCCTTGGCTGGGCTTAAACTTATGAGATTCTCCACTTCCCAAATGCTAGGATTACAGGAGAGAAACACTGCTCCCACCTCGTTTTGTAGTAAACTTTTAATTTTATAAATTGTTACTGTGTCGTCTTAGCTGTGTTGTCTTAACACAATAGTTGTTTATTATTATCAAGTATTAGGTATTGTACGTAATTCTACATGCTATATTTTTGTATGACTGGAACTGGTGTGTTTGTTTACACCAGCCTACTCACAATCATGTAAACAGTGCAATCCACTATAAATGTGTTGTCCTTAGAGCAGCTACAATACGAGTAGGGAGTAAATAGTTTTCAGCTTCATTATGATTTTATTTGGTTACTGTTGTTGACTGATGCAGTTTTGAGGTGCATGATTATATACTAAAAGAAGCATGTTCCTAGACTTCTGTACAAGGCCTAGGGATATATACTGAGTGAAAGGGGAGTCATACCTTGTCCTATGTTCCAAAAAATGGAGAAGAGGTAGCACATATAAATCTAAGGCACATCTTTCCAGTTACCCTAGTGCTGCATCTCTGAGCACTATTCAATCATTTCTGACTCGCTGATACTAAGGCTAAGCTATTTTGTTGCTGTCTTATAAGTAAGCACTCATACTTAAAAACCAGTGCTAAAATTTGGAAACAAAGCTGTGACCCCAGTGCAGAAGCACAAAGTTGGTTACTAAAGAAGAGTATCTAGATTCTAGATTTTGGTGCACTCATAATGACATTGAAGGCATGTCAATGAGGTGTGCTCAGATTCCACAAGCAATCAGAATGTAGCTTAGCTGAAAAAGCAAGATGTTCCATACCTCATGGAAAACGACATTCACTCTAGATCACCGTGCTGAATTTTGACCCTTGCCTCTCTTTGCTTGATACATTCTCTTTAATTTTGCTGAACCAAAGCAGTAGAATAATATTGCTGTGAACCCCTCCTTTTCTTACTATACGACCTCCTTGAAGACAGGAACTATTTTGTATTCATCTTTTTATTCCTGATACCCCAGAGTAGGTTTTCTGTGAATGTTGAAAAATATTATAAAATATCTACTGTTCTTTTGAAAGTTGAAGAATGCCCTACACTGTTTTAGTCTATGATCTGTATAATTCTGAACAGATAGTGAAAAAATGTGATAGTCAGGCATGGGAGTGTGTGCCTATAAATCCAACTATTCTGGAGGCTGAAGCAGGAGGGTCACAAGTTCAAGATCAGCTTGGGCTACATAGATAGGGAGACAACATCTGAAAAAAATGTTAATTTTCGCATAACTTAATGCAGAAAATTCCAATGTCAGTATAAAAAATGATAAAAGTGAGTTAAAAGAGATTGTTATTATTGGTAGTAAATTTTGATACTTTCCTTTTTCTGTACATGTTTGAAGTACATCCAGTCACTCTCACATATTGGTACTTGCTCCATATATTCGGACTTGTGTTATGGGCAAAAGCACTGGAGAGTATCCTCATAAAATTCATTTTTTTTGATAGGGATAAACAGTGGTTGTTGTATTACACATTGTTATCTTCAGCAAAGTTGCTCAGATTACCAGATGTAGGAATGCAAGATTGATCAAACCATTAAAGAGAATAAAGAATAATAAAAAAAACCCATTAGAAACAATGCAGAGCTTCACTAAACAAGATGGCAGGAATTCAACAATGGTTGTTATATTCCATATAGAAAGGGAAAGAAATTGCTTAAAGGGAAGGAACAACTGGGATGAGGGAAAGGAGAAAAGAAAGAAAGAAGGGAGGATAGCTGGGATATCTGTACTGTTAATGTCTATTGGTTTATTGAAAGGAATAGTTAATGCTTGAATTTTTTTGGACAAATTTTGCATGCTTCTATCTGGTAATCTGAACAACTAATTTAAAATTCACTTTTGCAGTGGTAATCATTCGTGACTAGCCCTTCTTTTGGCTTGCCACAGTTCATCTGAGAGCACAAGTCCTCTTGTCCCTAGGGAGAATGGCCCTTCAACCTGTCCAAGTTTGATCATGGGAGAGGGAAGGGTGAGAGAAAGGGAAGTTCTTGGGGCCGTGTGGCATGCTGCTAACAGTCTAGGGCAGCGCTGTAGCTCAGGTCTATAACACCCTTGTGGAGGATTCAAACAACCGGAAGCAGCAGGGAGGAGCTGGGGAGAGGTGCCAGGGAGTGGGGCCTAGACACAGGGCGGTGTGGTGGAAACTGGGAACTGCATTTCTTTGCTTGGAGCAAATGCCATATTCCTATGAGAGCACTGAAGCCTGGCCCAGGGTCCAAGGCTGATTCCTCCACATTGTGAAGCATCCTCTTCCCTGCCTTGTAAATAAAGTCCTTATGCTCAAGACACAGGTTTCTAAGAAAGCGTCATGGCCCATAGGGGCTTTTACTCAGTGAGTGACTCTGTGTCCCTTTCCTTTCAAATACTGATTTATGGTCTTTTTCTTATTATGCATCCTTTTTAAGATGACTATTACTGGAAAAAAGTTCCAACTGTTGCTGGACGTAGAAAGTTAAAGTGAGAAATAAATTATAATAGCTTCTATTATTACCTTAATATCTGGGTCATATGCTGATCTATATTTGGAAGCTAACTTTAAAACAAAATTCTTGCAGAAGTACTATCTGTGTTTCCGGAAACCGGGAGCCTTGGAGGAAGAACGCACATCACAATTACAGGAGACTTCTTTGACGGCTCTGCCCGGGTTACCATTGCAGGTAGCTGTTGAAATGACTGGAAATAGTTCACAGTCTTAAACGCTGTAGCACTCTGTGCATCTCTCAAGCCTGGAGGCTGCGAGGGGAAGCATTTATTCCTTTCCATTATTTCGTGTCCCTGAGGTCTTTGCCTGTGTGTTTGAGGCCAGGTGGAGTTTTGGTCCTGTCGCTCTGCAGGTGTGTTGCAGGGACAGGATGTCCCACAGACACGCTCACAGTGCAGTTTCCTCATCTTGAGGATGAAGGAAAAGCCTCTTCACAAAGGTCTATATCTATAAAAAGCAACCTCTCTCCTTCCCTTCTCTTCTTAGCTGGAGTGAGGGGCATTCACTCTGCAAATTCTTCTGAAATGCCCCGGGGCCAACTCTTATAGTACCATCTAGAACCTTTCCTTCTGCCAGGTGGATGCTCCTCTGGTTGGTGGCACACAGCAGGGGGCGCATGGCCTAACAGGTCACCCTCACCCTGCTCAGCCGAGCGGCTCAGCACATCGCCGCGAGCCTGACTACCATGAACCGCCCCATGTGCGACTGCTCTCTGTTCCCCCTTTCCCGGCTTCTTTCAGTTGGGTAATGACTCTTGCTCTTCTAGCCACTCCAGCCCTTGCCTTAGAAAAGGGCCCCCTTGACTTCATTCTGTTCTGCCATCACATTGCTCCCTGTGCATCTAGATCTGTCTGTACACTGAGAAATCTAAAAAAAATTCTCCTTAGGCATTCCGTGCGATATTGGCCACGTGTCTCCCAGGAAGATTGAGTGCACCTCCAGGGCTCCAGGAAAAGGTGCGAGGCTCACTGCTCCTCAGGCAGGTAAGGAAGTCAGCAGGGCTGCTCAGGGAACTTGCTCAGTCCTGAGAGTCTGGGAGTAGACACAAATGTGCTTGGATTCTGTCTCAGTTGTTTGGTTCACTCAGGGAACCCTGGGTCTGTAACGCCACTGTCAAAGCTTTCCTATCCGGGGTGTTCGCTCAGACGCATAGCCGCTCTGCACTCGGTCCCCGTCAGGTGTGTGGCCAGAGATAATACACCCTCAGTCCTGGGGTATTATCTCTACTTGTTATTTGCCCCATTTTGATGCAGGAGAAAATGAATACACAGGAGCATTAGGCAATTTGTTCATAGTTACACGTCTAGCAAGGGCAGACCTGGAGTCTGAACCTATAGTGATGTGAATCCAGAGATTTTTACCTTCAACCCAAATCATGGTCCAATACTGATTGGACCTGTGCCTTTGGCCTCAGGGTTGGGTTTATATAAAGTACAAATTGATAAGTACAGCATCATTTAAAAAGTCACATGATAGCTGCATGACACAATAAAGTCTGTGTGCAGATCTATAGCTTGAGACTATGGTACTTAAAAAGGCTTAAGGGTTGCCAGATTCTGGGGAAATGATTTTATGGAATAAAATTCCTAGGCTGAACTTGACCTTAAAGATGCTGACATGCACTTGAGGCTCTGGGGCACACAGGCAGGTCTTGCTGCAGGCTTACCCAGTCCTCATCAACTGAAGCATGCATTTCTCTGTAACATTTTCTGCAAGTCTCCCATTATAAAAGGCTTCCTGACCTTTGATCCTCTAAGAGTCTTTCCCCTACTATTTCTCAAGACCCTCTTTTCAAGAGGCTGAATTCTACCCAAGGACTATTTCTGCTTTCTGGATGTTTGTAATGTCTGAGTATCTCATGTGACTTCTCCATATGGGCTTGTAGATTGTACCTGCTCATCTTTCACTCTGTAATTTGAAATAGAGTAGTCCCCTAGTTTGGAGAGGAGTGCTTCTGGTGGGTATGAGATACACATATCTTACAGGCAACCGAGGGCTGCTTTTTGAAGTTGGAGATGCTGCTGAGGGCTTGGAACTGACTGAAGCCAACCCTGGGTACAGGAGGCAGATTGTGCCTAATGCCAGTTCTCCATTTGGATTTTGGTCAAAGCAAGGACAGCTTTTCAGGTATGTCATAGGAAAAAAGCAGTTCACATCAGAAGCGTGTTCAGGAACTCAGGTGAAGCTGGGGTGCAGATGAGGAAGGCAGTGAGATTTCCAGGGGAGACCTTATTACTCCAACCAAGTCCACAACAGAGCTGGAGGTGTTTCCAACATCGTTGGTCATGCTAGCAACTTGTAGACCATTTGTAGACCATTTCTCATCGAACTATTGCTCAGTGTATAAAATTTATATTCTTTACAACTCTGTTTACAATCTGACCTGGAAATGATTGCAAGTTGCAGCGTTGAGCTGAGCAGGCCAGAGACTTGGTAGGCAGCGGGTAAAACTCACTGTCAGTATGTAGTTGAGGTGAAACTAACTTCTGGCTGAAGCGAAAGAAAGATGCAAGAACTTGCTATGGGGTCTCTGAGGAAACAATGGTTCTGCTGGAACAATCGTCCCCTAAAGAAGGTTGACCCATCTGCAGTGTACAGGTGGAGGCTCTCTTGTGGGCTGAGATGTGGTTTTCTGTAGTAGCAATTCCTTGTGATTATGATTTTCCTGGATAGTTTTGTTTTGATTCTTTCTAATTTCTTCAGTGCCAACATGTATAGCTTCCTAAGTGATCTTCAATGTACAGAAAATGTGAGACTTGTTCAGACCCTGCTTCCTTAGTACTCCCAGTGTACATCTGAAGGGATGGATCCTCTACAGGGTGATGAATCTCCTCCCCCTTTAACTCTTCCTCAGAGGGCTGGAGGTGACTTCAGAGTGTGAATTTCAGCCAGTCTGAACATTTCCTCCTCCAGGGAAGGTACCATAGGTAACAATTCAATTGTGGAGTGCAAGGAGGGAAGGTAACCAGGGAAGAGAAGGGTACCTTCTGAGCTTCACTGGCTAGGTACTGAACAACAATTGATGAATTAGAAGTGGTACTCACTTGGAGGTCCACTGCAGTGTGAAATATGAACATGCCTGTGGTTTCTGAGGATCATTAACAAGGATTAGAGAAAAAATTTTCAACCATATTTAGTACATAAAGGAGGGAGTCAGATCACCTCAAAAGGCAGCAGGACCATTTGCATGTGCATGGTAGGACTCGTAGGGGTTTTCCCTTTCGCTGCCATTTTGAGGAGCTACAAATCAGATGGTATCTCATTTTTCATTCTTTCATTCATCTTTTTTGAAAATCTAAACATTTTAAATAAAAATTGGGGTATTTGTTTACTGAATGATAAATTAATATATATATATATTTTTTTTGTTGTTGTTTTTTTGTTTTTTGTTTTTCTCCGGTACCGGGAACCGAACTCACGACCTTGCGCTTGCCAGGCAGGCGCTTTTTGCCGCTGAGCTAAATCCCCAGCCCCAATAAGTTAATATATTGACAGACTTCAAAATGTTATTTTTGGAAGGCAGCTGTGCTCACCACTATATAATCAACACCACAAGGTTATTTTTGAAATCATTTTCATATATAAAACTTTCTCTAAAGATAAAAATGCATACCTTAAAGCAAAACTTAGAAACCTCTTTATATTGATGTTCCAAGGATTAAAAAAAGAAAGTATTTTTATATTTATTTAGGTAATTTGATCATTTTTAAAACCATCTCTCTAATATTGTTACTAGAATTTATCTTAAGCCTGTAAAAGAAGGTTTTATTTTATTTTATTTTATTTTTTCCGGTACTGGGAACCGAACTCATGACCTTGCGCTGTGCCTCTGAGCTAAATCCCCAGCCCCAAGAAGATTTTGTAACATTGTCTGCAATGTTCTTCAGAGTTGCATTTTATGGCTTTTAACTTGAGACTGTCAACAGCTTAACTGACTATTCTGTAGGGACAATAATGATTTCTAATTGGGAAAATATTCTGCAGATATTGAAGCATCTGGTAAGTTCAGAGCTGGTTCTGGTCGTTGGTTCTTCATAATAAGAATACTTGACAGTGACTGAGCTACTGTGATGGTCCATGCCTGCGCTGGCTGGGGCAGGTGCTGTGGTTAGCTGAACCTCAGTACGGCATATGCTGTGGCCGCAGTGGATTTGTGGCTGTGGGAAGGCAGATGATGAGACTGCAGGATGTCGCACTGTGGCTCACTCTAGAATGTTCTGGACGAGCGTGTGTGTAAGAGTCAAGGTTTTCCTCTGTCATTACCATAAAGAATAGCAAAGTGTCAGGGCAACCAGTAGTTGCTTTGGGCATTCATGACTTGGTTATGCTTTCTTGACTATGTTCTTTTGCTTTACAGAGCACGACTCAGTGGGTTCTTTGTGGCTCCAGAGACAAATAATTACACATTCTGGATCCAGGCAGACAGCCCAGCTTCCCTGCATTTCAGTCATTCGGAGGAACTGAGGACCAAGGTGCTCACCTTCCTTTGCTTTTCTTTATCTTTATTCTCAGTCTTGTGCCCTTGACTAAAGGAAGCATTAAACTAAAGCCCTCATGTCCTATAGACAGTTTTAACATGCCATGAAGTGACCAGGGGCTTTACATTTTGAAAAAAATTTGACTGAATCATAATGCTATATACTACTGACTGAGCCTTTACTTTAAACCAGGCATTATGTTTTGGTCTTCAGTGTATCTCTATGAAAATATATATTTATCTCTGCTTTTGCATATCAGGCAATTGGGGCTTCGAAGGATTGTATGGCCAATCCAGGACCAGACGGGTAAAAATAAGAGGCAGGATTCAAATTCAGGTTTCTGCCTCCAAACCTGGTGCCTTTGCTGCTGCATTTGGGCAGAGATGTGGCTCACCTCATGCAGAAATCTCACCATCAACTTTGAAGGTTAAGAAGAGACGCCTCTATCAGGCAGCCAAAGTTCACTTGTGCCTTTGACAAAGAACCGCAGCATTTTAATAATATTCTTTGAAACTGATTTGGTAGTTGGTTAGAAAAATGTAATGGCTTTTTATGTAGTGAAGTCATTCTAGGTTTCTCAAGGGCTTAATGTTAGTTTTTCACAACACTAGGGTATTAGGGTGGCTGTTCCCGCTCTAACAGTAGCCCATGTAGCTTCATTGGAATACTGTTCAAGTGAGAAAGAGAGAGAGAAAGAGAGACAGAGATGGAGACAGAGAAGCATAAAAACACCAAGGGCCAAAGTAACAGTTAACTTTTTGGAAAAGGCTGACTGGTTGAAACACCTCAATGTTGGTGGCTTTGTAAGGCTCACTGTTTGAGGGAAAAATGCCCAAGCTTCATGGTGTTGATCTTGATATACTTACTGGGCGTAGGCGGAAGTGGCCTCCATTCGAGTTGGCACTGCTGACTGGTTTGACTCCTGGGAGCAGAATGGGACCTGGACCGATGAAGGGACTTGGCAACAGAAGAGTCCCAAACTGGAGCTGTTGGGCGGAGCCAGGTACTACCTGGAGGCCGAGCATCGTGGGATAGCCCCCAGCAGCGGAATGAGGATTGGCGTCCAGATCCACAACACCTGGCTGAATCCTGATGTGGTCACCACTTACCTCCGAGAGAAGCACCAGATCAGTGTCAGAGCCCAGAGACTTCCAGAAATACAGGTTTGCCTCCCTTCCCAGTCCTGTGGAGTTGAACTCTGGAGACGGGAAAGGGTCCTTCTTTGCTCATGGAAGGACCGCTTGTTGACAGCCAGTGGACCTGAGTTGTAATTATAACTCTGCAGACAAATATAGAGGATATCTATGCATTTGGACTGTATTGTTCAGATTACCTCACTCACTGACTTAGTTTTAGGAATTTATAAGTCAGTCTTTTTTTTTTTTAACTTTTTGTCCAGAGTACAGTTAAGGTCCTTCAAAACACACACACACATACACACACACACACACACACACACACACACGTGCACACACATCATAGCTTTTTAACTGATTCAATCCCTAGTGCCCTACGTGATGTTTCCTAAGTCTAATTTGTAATGAGCTTTATATGTGCCCCACATTTTCACTGAGAATTTCGTTGTAGTTCTTGTTCACTTTTTGATGTACAATATGAACTCTGTCTTCTAAAGACTCCCATCTAACAGTAACCTGTATATGAATAACCACAGAACAGAGCAGAAAACAACAAGTGATTTAATAAATGAAAAGCTGCAGGGAGCTCACTCCAGGGAACGTGTCCTCCAGAGAATGCGTTGGCAGCAAAAGACTGCACAGGAGCCAGGACAGCATGCAGGCCGCCACCTCCAGGCCACTGCTGAAAGTATTTGCTGAGGGACTGAACATGTGGCAAACTTAAGGGACACAAAGGGGCCAAAGGGACACAAAGGGCCAAAGTAACTGAGTTAACACAAAAAGGAGTGAGGCAATTCATTCCACAGTCTTCATTAAGTGATGGTGCTGCATTCTTTCTAGATGGCAGTGCATTTAGAGAACTGAAATGATAATAGCAATGCCGCCCAAGCTGAGCTGAGGAGGTCGGTTTTGTGCTCCTAACCTGACTCTTGGGTTTCACTGTTCCCTGTCAGTCTTGTCTCTTTTGACTTCACAGATGCTGAACGTATCAGGCAGGGGAGACTTTTTCCTTACTTGGGACAACATCTCCAGCCAGCCAATTCCTGCAAACGCCACGGCCCACCAGGTAGGATCCTGCTTCAAATAAGGACGGCTGTCGGGGGAGAACTAGGGCTGGTCCTTGTGTCAACGGTGTGAGCTTGTGGTATCATGTTTCCTTTTAAACAGATTCAAGCCACCATTGAAGAGTTACTTGCAGTAAAATGCAAGCTGGAACCGCTGTCAGCTAACACCCTGCTTCGACTTGGATTTGAACAAGGTGTTAATGTTGTGTTTTCACTTTCTGTAAAGTAGGTGCAATCCTCGTTCCCCTCTAAGGTGCTCACAGAGTCAAAGAAAAATTTGAAAATGGGTTTTAGACGGTGAGTGGTTAAGGCAGTTGCTCCATGCTTGGGAGGGAGGTGCTTGGTGCAGTGACTCAGGAAAGGTGAGCCGGTCCTCAGGAGCCACCAGGGACTTAAAGCATGGCCCAGAAGTTCCCACACTGCACAGGGTGTGAGGGTGCAGATGGTGGTGAAATACAACAACTATAAAATCTTGCTTAACTCAATATGTATCTAAAGGAATTGTTGCCTAAGAAAGTCCTGCAAATTTTTAAAATGTGAAGGTGTTTTTAAAACTATACTAAAGTAAACTAAATTCCAGTGGATACTGTCTGTCTTTTTGCTTCTCAGTTGGTGTTGGTATCGTGGTACACACGGAAAATGGTCATACATATCTCACGTTTGTGGTCAGACACAGGGTTCCTCATAGCTGGAGCCTTCAGACTGAGGGATGCTGGCCCTTCAAACCCTCCTCAGCTCTCCCGAGGACTGAAGGACCAAGATCCTAGTGAATGCACACCCACTCCCTGTGAATACACCGAGAGGCTGTGCTTAGTTTAACACCCACGTTTGTCTTCCTGTTTTACCAAACTACACCCAGGTCTGGAAGGCGCCAGCTCCGATGGGGACCTCACCAGTGGGACAGAGCCCTTCTGTGGCAGAGTCAGCCTCCGTCGGCCTCGACAGCTCGACCTGATCCCCGCTGCTGCTCAGAAGGGCTATCGGCTGGATCAGTACCCGCATGTAAGTGTAGTTCTCAGGCTTCCAGCCAGGTGTGTGGGAGGGGTGAGTGTCTCCGGGTTGGAGACCAAAAAAACAGAAGCACACAGGAGAGATTGCTGTGATTTGCGCAATGCCTTTTTTTTTTTTTTTTTTCCCGGTACCGGGAATCGAACCCATGACGTTGTACTTGCCCGGCAGGCGCTGTGCTACTGAACTAAGTCCTCAGCCCCTGCCCAATGCCTTTGGGACTAAGGTTCTAGGTATTTTTAACTGCTGTTTCAGGTATGAATAGATGCATCTTGCCAACAATATAGAGCTGCTACCTGGAAATGCCTTTGCACTGGCTTTAATGATAAAGGCTATGGAAATTATTATGTGGTTAGCATTTTGTTTGATCTCTATGTATAAGTGCAGACTAGCATACTAGCATTCTAGCATTCAGCAATGAATCCTGACCCTTCACCTTCTGTGTCCTCAATGACTTAGTTAAGTAAACCTTGCCTTAGTTTATTCAAGTGTAACATGGGTAATTATTTGGTCAAGCTCTCAGGTCTGTAATGAAGATTAAATGAGACCTGTTTGGTAAAGTGCTTCCACAGGGCAAGGGCTGGGTGGAGCTTGGGTCCTGTTATTATGGCTAATGTTATTGATAGATTGAAAGACACACTTCCTGAATACCTCTTATACCCTTTGCTTTAGTAGATCTGCTATCCTTCATAAAAGAGATACCGCTCATTGTCTTTTGTGATCTAGAGTGAGCCGTTCGGGGGTGGTAGAGCCCATGGTAGCAGTTGCAGGTCTTTTCCTGATAGAGCAATAATGGAAGTTGGGAATAAGAGGTTCTGGTCTGGGGCCTCACCCATCTCCAGCCTCTTCTCCACTGGAGAGTTTCCCATGGGGGAAGTGGCTTTGTCCTTTTGGGAGAGAGTTGGAAGTACATGAAAATATACTTGATTGTGACAACTGGGAAACTGTTATTGGCATCTACTGTAGTGGGTAGAGGCCAGAGATGCTAGTAAAGCTCCTATAGCAGCAGGACGACCCACAACAAATTACCCAGTGTTGATTGTGCCCATGTTGAAAACTCTTGATCTCTTGTCTCCTGTCGAGTGACTTTGTACTTGACTTAGAAGGCAAAGATGCTGGGTTGTTTAAAAAAAAGGCTCAAGGAGGGTGAGCGGCTTGCTCAAGTCTGCACAGGTTAAGGAGGGCCTTTCTATTTGAGATACTCTAAGATCCTCACAGCCAATCACTAATACTCTAAGATCCTCGCAGCCAGTCACAGAATTAAGGATGTATAAACTCTGCTGTATTACTTTTTTTTGGCCTTAGAAAAGGCATTTATTATGTGTTCCCCAAGCTTTATTGAAGTAAGCAATAATTTGCTCTAAATTATCTCTAGCTGGATGGGTAAGTTCTAGGAAGGCAGGCTCTGGCCTCTTTCGTTGTGTGTAGCTGGGTCTGCAGCTGCGGAGCACTCACTGTGCATTGTTTAAAAGGCTGATCTTTGCCCTGATGGAACTGAGGGACTTGTTTGGTGTCCATAGCTGTGCATGGCATACAAAGGCCACAGGAACATGACCCTGAGGATGACTGTGTCCTTCATAATCGGCTTTCGAAACATCACCAAGAACAGCACCTGTGACTGGAGTCTCACGGGCACCAGCCCCGAGAGGTAGCTCTGCCACAGGAGGTGGGACGGGGATTCTGCCTGCGAGGGGAGGTGGGATTGACTGTCATATGGAGAGTGGTCCATTCAGTCTCATGTTTGAGACTCAGCCGGCCTGGGGTTTTGAGCTTATTCTGTTTGACAAAGTATTTTGACGCCATAGCAGGTAGCTGATAAGGACACAACAGTTCTGAGCAGGACTCTGACATTTCTCGTGGGCGCAGAATCACAGAATATCGTATCTGGAAGAACTTATGGGACATTCCTTGACACATGAGGAAAACTGGGGCCCAAGAATTCATCTATATGCAGCTGGCTTGTGACTGTAGAATAAAATTAAGGCATGATGATCCCTGATTCAGGGTACTTTCCACATATTTCTTCCGGTTTGTGGAAGTGATTTTAACCTAAATGAGTCAGTGATGTGCAGGAGTGTTGATCTTCCCTATGGTTAGAACCTGATATTTATTCTACTTTAGATGCACAATTAAATTGTAATTTTAAAATGCTGCCGACACAGCTGCGAATGAATGAATGATTTAAAATGTGACGCACCCGTGTTACAGCCAAAGCCGAGTGCACCTTGGGTGGGGTGTCCAAACCTGGGGCACCTGGGCGGTGTGGGTGCGGGGCTCGCAGTCCCTCTCCTGGCTGCAGAGTCCCGGGGAGAGGCCTGCAGGTCTTACCTTGGGCTCCTCCGCCCTGCGCTGTTTGCAGCTGGCAGTTCGCCTGCACCGACCTTCGGGACGTGTGTCCGCGTCACCCCGGGGATCTCCAGCTGCCTCCGGCCAACGCCCCCGTGCTGGTTCGTCACATCGCCCTCCTCTCTCTGGCCCGAGAGACAGGCCTGCTTTACGTGGACGAAATTATTATTGCAGACACAAACCTCACAGGTGATCAGCATATCTGCTGTCTTCCAAGGGCTTGTCTTCAGCTTCCGGGTAAAGATGGCTGCTCTTTTAACGAGGAGAGGACGGGTGATTTTCCACCTTGCCCGCCTCTGTTCTGTGAGCAAATGGAGTTAAAATTCCTTCATCTCCCTGGCTAATCCCTCACTTTCATCTATTTACTTCATCATTTTCTCTTCCTTCTTGTGCTTGTGCTCTTATTCCAACTTTTCCACCTCCTAGTAGGGAAGCTTTGCTCTCCTCACCTGTAAAATGGGTACAATACTGGTTCTGCCTCATTAAATTACTATGAAGATTAACCAAAGTTTAATAGAAAGCACTCACTATAGGTCTGGACCATGGTGAATGCTTGAAAAAAGTAAGCAGTTGTTAGTAGCATTGTTAGGCCAGCAGGATTTCTCCGTCTTTTCTCAAGTTAATATATGTCATACTAAGTGCTGGAAAGAACACAGCAACATTTAGAGAGAAAGCCGCACTGCAGCGGGGACATAACTTTCTGAGAGAACATCTCTGTCTTTCTCTTTGTTCATCTAGACTCTCACAGTCATTGCTCAGAGCGCAGGCCTGGCCCTCTGTACCAGGGACTTTCCTGTGCTCACTTCTGGGCGCAGAGCCCTCACCTCAGCCCTGACCTCAGGCTCTCACCCTGTCTGGACAGCCCTCCGCCACCCCCAGGGACAGCGTGCACCAGGGCCCTCCCGGGACCGCACGTGTATGATGTGTACCGCGCGCTCCGAAAGGGCCGCTGGCTCGCAGGGCCATGGGCTTCCTGCGGTTGCCTCTTTCCTTTTGTGTCAAATCCTTCATGACTTCAGAGCTCGGCTTTCCTCTACTTCACGGCTTCTCTCTCTCCCAGCAGAAGAAGCGGACAAAGTCACTCACGTTTTAACTTTAAAAAGTGTGCAACTTTTGAGCCTTTTGCCTAAAAATGTCAAGTGTGAGGATGAGGGAGCTCGCGGTGGTGGCAGCAAGATTCTCTGTCAGCCCGGGATTGCATCATCTTGGACGCTCATTCTAATTCTTCCTCTTATCTGTGTCATGTTTTGGGGGGCACCCAGGATCGCTGATTGTCGGCAGTCTGCGTTGTGGCACACTTAGCAAAGAGCACCGTTTCAGTGGCGTGCTGGGACACCCACCTGAGTTTGCTGGCTCTAAGGCAGTTGGGTTGGGGGGCTGTGGTGATCCTAAGTGCCGCCCAGATTCTGAGAAGGCGGAAGGGTCAGTAATCGATACTTCACACGCTTGAAGGCGCTGCTCGGAAGGCTTTCGCTGGATAGCAGATACTGCTTCACTTTTTCATCTGTCTCCCTTAACCACCTTCCTGTCTGTCCACACCCTTGAAACTAAGAGTCCAGAACACACTCTCCTTGCCCCTGCCTCTTCGCCCCCGAATGCTCTGAGGGTCTGGAACCATCCCGGAGTGAGTGAGGAGGGGCCCTGGCGCGTGAGGGGGGGCTCGGAGAGAAGAGTGGGGTGGCTTGGGTGAGGCGGTTTTCTTACCACTTTGTCACGTTTCTCTATGGGGAGTGAGCGCGCATTCGTGCATGCTCACACACACACACACACACACACACACACACACACACAGTGCTGGGGTGGAAAACCAGGGCCTCGAACCTGCCAGGTGAGTGCTCTACCTGCCTACAGCCTCAGCCCGGCAGCTTTGTTCTGAGGACTAGCTCCTGGAAATGTAAACTCTGCATAGTGAGGCTCAATATTCCTGATTAATTGTGTGCCATTTATCTGAACAGTTTAATACTTTGTTATATTCTCTCACCTAATGTCCACTGTGAAAGTTCTTTTTAGTCTTTAACCCAGCGACAGCTCTCGTTTGTTTTATCATTTAGTTCTCAGAAGCCTGTGAGAGAGCCTGTGTCCTCCTATGGCCACTCTGTGCATGAGGAAACCAAGGCTGAGAGGAGTTTCTTCTTGCCCTTCGCTTTTTCCTTTTTTTCCGCCCAACGCACAAAGCTGGGATGTGGCGGGGGTCAGCACCTAGGCGTCACTGACGCTCCAGCAGGGCCTTCAAGGACTCCCTAGCCCGCTGAGCAAATCGTCACTTACTGAGCACCTACTCTCTGCCCAGTGTTGTTTTAATTATTGGGCGTGCCAGGATGAATAAGACCAAGATGTCCTTGAACTCTTTATAGTCGGAGCTGCACTAAATCATGAGAAAGAAGCTTTCTTTTTACCTCTAATGCCTTTAGAGGGCGAAGGGATATTAAAAAATATCGCACTAATCCTTTTTAGTTCTCAGACCCACTAAGCTTCGTGCCATGGAGACAGCTGTCAGTCATGTATGTCATGATCTACAAGTTACAGATGAGAAATGGAGTCCAGGGGGCGTATGTTGATTAGCTGAGTGGGTACCCAGCACAAGCAGGGAATCAGGATTTGAACAGTGGTGTCTCTGAAAGCTGGACCTTGTCCTGTGCAATCAGCCCTTTGTGTAAACACACGAGCACCCTGGTTTGCGCCTTGTCCGTTGGGTGCTCCCAAGGAAGAGCACCTGTACATCCCTAGTGCTGTCAGGGGTTGCGGGAAGGAGAGGAGGAACTGGGGCCACCTACACTGTGGTGGGTACCTGCGGAGGGATACCTCCAGGGGCACACTTGGTGACATTTGGCTTACTGAACTTTGCTGTGGAATTGATCTTCATCTCCTTAAACTATGACCTTGCATTGTCTTTTTGGTGCTAAATCAAATGATGTGTCACCTCCCTGCTGTCCTTTTGCTTTATATATCAGCAAAGGGTAGAAATCTAGGCTTTGGGTGCACGTTTTCCATCTTGAATAACTTGATACCAACTGGATCCTTGGTCTCTAGTTTCCCAGGATCATTCTGCAACAGCTCGCCCCGGCGGAAATCTGGTGGAATCCATCTCTGTGGTGGGATCCCATCCAGTCTACAACGTAACCGCCTGGGTGACAGGATGCGGCACGGAGCTCCCACTCATTGCTGCGTGGTAAGGAGTGGATTTGTACCTTGTTCCTCCTCAGGACTTCTGGCTGACTGTGGGGGACACAGAGGGACGACAAAGCCACACTCATTGCTTAAAGCAATGCTCTTGCCTTGAGAATACGGCACAGCCTCATCTGGAAGTCCCGTTTACACTTTAGGCCCTGCCTCAGACCCTCCAATGGGGCATTTTGGGGCAGGGTCTGAGAATTTTGCAGTAGTTGTAATGATTTCCCTGGTGGAGCTAATTCTGCTAGAGTGGGGATTACATTTGAGAACTAATTTCTATTGAATTTGTTTAATAATGTTGATTTTTATGCTGTTGAGGGTTTCACATTAACACTACTTTCTGTTTATTCCCCTCATTCCATTTCCCATACAATGATCACTTTTTTATTTTAAAAATAAAAGGAGGAAAACATTAACAGACAGACAACCTTTTACAAAATAGCAAAAGAGCAGTACAGACAATACAGAGTTACAAACAAAGTGGTAGGAAATTAACAATGCTGGTTGTATTACATATTGATATCTTCAAAGTGGCTTCTCATGAAAACAGATAGAGACATGCAATATTGATCAGTCAAGGACTCACTGACAGTTTCTTTCAGCAAAGAAATAGAAGACAGTAGATCAACTATGTTAGCTATCCTGTATGTACATACATACAAAATTTTTCCTTCTTTCCCTTCTCTTTTTCCCACATCCCAGTTGCCCGTTACCCTTGAGCGTTTTCCTATCATTTCACAATGTCTATCATACTCAGAATTTATATTAACTCTTTCAGGTTTTACACTAGTGAGATAATGCGGTGCTTGCACATGCAGGTCTGATTTATTTCACTTATGAGTCCCATACAATGATCTTGTTGAACTTTGAAACGAAATGAAACCTTGTAATCTAAGACACAAAAATAAGCATTTTCAGAACTCACCACCAGATGGCACTAGAGCCCCATAAGCTTGGTTTGTTGACCGTTGTGAGCCATACTCTGCAAAACGGTAACTAAGGATCAGGCTTCTCCAAGTCCCTGGAAGACATTCACCTTTTACTTTTTTCTTTTAACTTTTCACTTAAATCCAAGTAGGATGGGAAGAATTGAGATGCTCTGCTTTTTACGTATGGACGCTGTGTGTGTGTGTGTGTGTGTGTGTGTCTGTGTGTGTGTGTTCACCCCCAACCTCATCCTTTTCTCCTGTTTTTCGAAATGAGTCTTCATACCTACAGCGTTCTGGACAGCGTATCAGAAGCGTGAGAAGAGGGCTTGAGTCTGCGCTTCACTTTTATTGATTCAGTATTTTTTTTTGTGAACCTCCGGTCAGTAAAGACTCAAAAACCATCGAATGAAGAAGTGAGAACGCTTCAGCGGTGCAGAGGGAGCTAGCATTCCAGCTGGCTCTAAATGCCGGAGTTATTGAAGCTGAAATAGCGGAGGTTAATTGCATTTACTCTGAACAGGTTGATGCTCACAGAGGCCTTCCCTTCTGAGCGTTCCCTTCTGAGCGTTCCTCCAGTCCCTCACTCCTCTGGAAGCCTCTGCCTGTGCCAGGCAGGGCAGTCTCTAGAGCGGGTTCTCCTGAGCGCATAGCCCTGCCCAGCCAGCGTCACTCTGTCCGTCACTCCTCCATGTGTTTAGGCTGCGCATCAGTATGCAGTGCTTAAATAATACTCTGAACACAGACTGTATACATCCATGGTTGAAAGTTTGGAAAACAAAAATAGAGATAAAAAATCATAGTACTCAATGCCGAGAGATAATGCCTGTTAACGTATTTGGTCTATATATTACCTTTTTCCTGATATGCTTTTATGTATATATTATATACATAAACATATATACATTTATGTATATATACATAATCATATATATATACATAGATATCCAAAACACGTATACAAATATATATGTTAGTGTGTTAAACCTTAGATTGGGATTACATATTACATATTATATGTGTAACATATAATGCCTTTTCATCCAATGGCATAGATTGAATATTTCCCAAATTCATTAAATACCCTGGCGAAAGTGATTAATAATGGCTTTCCTGTTCTACTCTGGCTTCTAGAAGGAAACAGCACAGACAGGGCACCTTATCAAGGACAGATATTTATTTTTCACAGTTCTGGAGGCCGGCAAGCCCAGTACCGAGGCTCTGGCAGATCCGTTTCCCTGCTCACAGATAGCACCTCCTCACTGTGTCCTCACGCGGTGGCAGAGAGGAGGGTTCTCCTGGAGCCTGATTTCTAAGGACACGAATCTCTTTCCCGAGGCTCAACCCTCACAGCCCAATCGCTCCTCCAACGGCCGCACCTCCTACGGCCATCACCGTGGGAATTAGGAATTCAGCATGCGGGTTGCAGGGGACACCAACTTTCAGACCATAGCAGTGGGCCTGTAATATTCCATCTCAAGCTGTGTTGCAATTTATTGGACCCACTCGTACGAACGTCAGGGCTGGGCAGGAAGCGTCTTTGTAGAGGGAAACTGCGTAAGAACACAGTTAGTTAGAAGGGCCTTGTTTTAGCCGGAGGTACTGGGTGGGGCAGAAACTATGCATCAGGAAACACTGACTTTTTGTCTGAAGAGGCACGTGGGATTAGAAAAAACGGAGTTCTCCTTCAACTCGTCAGAACCAGAGCTGCGGTGGCTGAGATTGCTTGTTGCTCTGGATCTTCGTACTCTCAGAATCAGCGCTGAGTGAAGGGAGGATGCTCTTAAAGAATCCTAATATTTCTGCTGTACCTTTTCCGCTGGGGCAGGAGAGGCACACCCAGCACTTAGGAGCATGGGTTCATAGCTGGAAGCAAGCGTGGTGAGCTGGTCTTATGAAATGGAGCTGCAGTCTATTTGGATTGGCACGTGGCTACTGTGGTGAATGTTTGTTTTTGTCACGCTGCAGCTCTGTGCCCATGGGAGGAACAGAAGACGCCGGGCCGGCCCAGGTGACAGCACAAAGACTGCAGAAGACAGGTCCACCGTTGGGAGGACACTTTCGCATCCACTTGTCTAACACAGTGATTCCTGGTAAAGGCGCAGCGGGGGGAGGAGCACTTCTTGTTTGCACGTTTAGGGGCGCTCTCAGGCAGACACCCCCCTACGAAGTTGTCGGCTAGGGTGGCACTTTTAAATTTATTTCATTTTCCAGTATCTGAAAATGGTCTTCTTCAAATTAAAGATCTGGAAAGGGATTTGTATATTTATAATCCCAGTCTTTAAGTTTTGTACATTTGGATGTTGAATGGAGTAGGTTTCTGGGACTGTCACAATAAATTATGACAAAATTAGAGACACAAAGGACAGAAATTTACCCCTTTCCAGTTCCGGAGCCCAGTAGACCATAATCAAGTTGCTGGGGAGGCCACACTCCCTCCAACAGGCCGTAGGGAGGGACTCGCTTCCTGCCTCTTCTGGCTCCTGGCTTATCCTGGTATCTTGTGCCCGTGGCCGCATTAGTCCACCCACTCCCTCTGTCCTTTGTGAAATGTTTTCTGACTCTCTTGTAAGGATATATTTGATTAACCTAGGGCCTACCTGGATAACACGGGATAGACTCCTCCCAAGATCCTTAACTACATCTTTTGCCACCTATGGAAGTAGTCATTCTTTTACCTTGTGAGGGAACACTCGTGTGTTCTGGGGATGAGGACATAGGCATATCTCTCGGGACCACCATTTAACCAGTGACACTGAGGTTTGCCCCAAGGCCACATGAAAAGCTGACAACAGGGGTCTGAATCTGAGTGTGTGTGTGTGAATCTCATGTCTGTCCTCTTCTCTCTAAGGTTTTCTAGACTAAGATCATTGGTTGCGGTCCTCAGAGTTAAACTAGAGGGTGACATCTTATGCTGCTGACGGCAGTGGTTTCCACAGATGCAGAAAGGGATTGCAAACTGAAATTAGCTTAGTGTTTTCAAAGCTTCAAGAATACACATTTTTCACAAAGTACTGTACAAGGGGTAGAAGTGACAACAACATGTTACTTATTTGACAGAAACATCGCAGAATCAGAAAAGGGGCTCAGGGGAACTGAGGTGCGGTTGTATACAGGTTGGTCTGTGGTCCAAGGCCTCGCTCCCTTGCAGACAGACTGGGCTTCGGAGATCTTTTTGGGTGGGAGAGGCAGAGGGGTGTTTTTATGATAATAGAGACATTTAGAATAAGTCAAAGGCCCTGCAGCTTTTGGAGTCTGATAAATGAGCAAGTGTCAGTGTGCCCTGCCTCTCAGAAGCCCTTCACTGGCTGCGTGTCTCTTCTCGCGAACGAGATAGACGATCCAAAGCCTTCTGCCTACCAAGCTTTACTGCCAAAGTTCCACATCATTGCGTACAAAACGCATCGAGGAAAGTCAGCCTCACCTGGCCTTTTGAGACGGCGATGACCCAAATGATGTCTAACTATGGAAAAGTGTCTTTTAAATGATGAGACTTTTGTTGGCTTTGCCGAAATGTAGGGGTACTTTATTAACCTTTCAGGGCAGTGTGAAATTCAAGAAGGCAGCTCTGGAGTGGAGAAAGCAACGTGGGTTTTAATCTAAACCTGCTGTGCTGGCTCTGCCAGCTTTGGAATACCATTATGTTTCATTTTCTTCATCTTTAAAGCAGGCGCGAGGGTACCCAAGTGACCCACCTCGCAGGGTTGCTCGAGTAGCTAATGAAATGGAAACTTTTGGTAAAGCATGAAGCAGGGTTCAAACACAGAGCTTTGTTTTTGCTCTGTGGGCATGTGGAATGGGGAAGCAGGTGGTTGGGCTTAAAGGAAATTCTAATAGAGAAGCCAAAGTTAAATGCCAACATTCCTCAGCTGGGTTGGTTAAGTTTTATGGGTGTCAGCTGCTGTATGCCTCCATGCTCCTTGTGAAAAGGGGCCAACTTTTTTCTCTTCATAGGGCCGGCTAAATTTTTCCAGGGAAAAGCCAGATTTAATTAGACTTTCACATTTTGAGTGGACAGTTGAGATGGTACTGTCTGACATACTGTTTTCTCTGCTTGTGCTGTGGTGTGGCACTGCGGACAGGGTGTTACAGCGAAAAGAAGTGGGCATCTGCTGGTATTTGCCTCAGGGCAAAAGGGAACTAGGGCTGAAGGTTCTCTTGAAGTTATGTTTTGACCTTGACAGTCTCCTTCAAGCAGACAACCTGGTTTTTATTCTTTTATCCCTGATGAGACTCTGCACGGTGGATTAATTAGTACTTTGTGTTTTCTGTAATAAAATTTTCCTTCACAGATGTCCCTGTGCACGTGTCCGCTGGTCACCTTCACAAGCTCTTACAGGACAGTGCTGATGACTTTACATCCAGATACCTCAATGTCAGTGACTTCACTGTCAAGGAGGGTCGAAACTCTTGCTATGAACGTGTATGGACCCTTTCCTGGTCCACCCAAACTGGGGACTTGCCCAGTTTTATCGAGGTATGTATGCTGTTCCTTTGAGAAGACCATACAGATTTGGCACCCTGGAGAAATCTTGTGAAAAGAAAAGCAGAATTATATGAATGAAAACTCTCATGGATGATTCATTTTGTAGGCATACTTGAGTAGGGGAAATTTATGATCTTTCTCTCTGGAAGTGTTCAGCACACGTTTTGCACCTCCTTCTCCTGACAGAGCAGTTTCATCTCATGTTTCCTTTCCTAACTCTGTGTGTGTAGAGAAGTTTTTGGTCAGTGTCCACCACGCAGTCACTCCACATCTGTTATCGGGTAATTTAAGCAGATGTGATTGACTTAGCTGATCATGGAGGCAGATGGAATACCAGAAGGAAGTTTAGAAAAGGATTTGCTGTCTTCGGGTAATGACAAAACCAGATGCTCTTGCATATTTAAGGCCTTTAAGAAGAATCCAATGATCATCTAGCATTTGATTATTATAAAATGAGACCCAAAATGAAATTTTATCCCATTTATATGGTATTATGGGTCATCTGCTCTTCAAACAGAATCCTAGGGTGGAGATGGAGGAAGTACGGGAGTCTTTGCTGTTACCTCAAAGCAATGTTTTCTCACATTTTATTTTAATATGTTTGATGGAAAATATATAAAATAGAGAAGCATAGGAAGCAAAATAGCTCACGACTTAGAAGACTGGTATGTTGTGTTGCTCCTTGCCTTTCCACTTGTAAATCAGTATGCTGCTAATTTCCCGGTGCCTCCTTTAGCTATTACTTACCGCTAGTTCTCTAGGTTTCCATCTTTGTCACTTTCGATTTTACTTTCTAGCTCTCTGACTTATTTCAAGCACAGTGTGCAAAAGCCATATCACTTATTTTAACCAAGACTAGATTTAGGTCTCAGGACAGTTTGCCACAAATGTACCCATCCCAGGTCTCTGATCAGAATCTTACGGGGGTGAATCCCACTGTGGCCATCCGCGTGGTGTATGATGGAGGAGTTTTCCTTGGACCCATATTTGGAGACATGTTGGCTACTGCTCACCAGCATACTCAGGTGAGTGGACAAGCCCCAAAGGGCAGGCACCAGCTTCTCAGTTTGAGAATCTCACTGATTTGAATGTGCGCCAATGACTTAGATCCCAAGGGTCCTTTTTCTACCTGGTAGAATAGGGGCAATTTTGGTTGTCCCTCTTCCTAACTTTCACAGGGTATGTAAAACGCTATGAAAAAAAAATCCATGCTTTGTCACCAGAATATTCTATATTAATTATTGATGCTATTATTATGGTGCAAAAACTAGGGAACCTCTATAGCCAAATAGGATTTGTGCTTCCACACAGTGGCATCGGAAAGTCCACGGGAAAAGTCAACTCCTTTTGTCTTTAAAAGGCCTTTTCCATCTGTTCATCATTTCTATTACAAGCTATCTGATTTTAATTTGAGAGAAATTTAAAGTGTCAAAAATGTAAGGAACACTACTTTTTAGTTAATGACTGACACATGGGTGCTCAAACTGAGAACTGGCAATTGTCAGTGTCATGATATAGCTATACTTTCTACTCTTTATGAAAAATAAAACTATGAATAAATTGAAGTGTTATTTATTTTCTAAGCTATTCAACTATCTCTTTCTTTTGTAAAGAAACACTCTCATAAATATCATGTATGTGTTTTAATCCATTTTTACTTTTACTTTTTATTTTTTATTTTTAAAAACTGGAGGAGTACATAAAATCTGGAAGGTACAATAGATATTATGAAAGGGAAAGAAACTGCTCAAAAGGAAAGAACAAACTTGGATCAGGGAAAGGACAAAGGAAAGAAAGAAGGGAAAATATATATATACACAAGATAGTTAAGATAATTGTATTGCTAATTTCTGTTGGTTTCTTGAAAGGAACAGTGAATGCTTAATTGTTTTGATCAATTTTGCATGTGTATATCTGGTAATCTGAGCAACTACTTTGAGGATAACAATATGCAATCCATTTTTATCTGTAGATAATCAATTGAGTTGTGTATTTTTCACATTCCTCATTTCTGAGTATTGTTTGAGACAATATTAGTTCTAGTAAAAAGAAAAGACATACAGTGTTTTCTTAGGGATTTGTTATTTTAAAACAAAAAGTCCCAAATCAGACATCCAGACACACTTTGTTTGTTAGCTATGTGCTCAAGCAGTGACGATGAAGAAAAGTCCCTCTTTGATTGGGCTTCACCAGTGACAGAAGGGTGTTTCAAGGTGATAGTGAAAATACAGTGGAATTGACTTAGTTGAAAATAGAGGGATGAATGGACTTTGTGCAGTTTAAGTTTATAAAATTTACTTCTAGATGACAGAGAGGAAATTTACTACACTTTGTCATATTTGGCCATGTGTGGTGGCATGCACCCATAGTCCTGGCTACTTGAGGCAGAAGGGCCACTTGAGTTCAAGAATTTACGACCAGTTTGGGCAATGTAGTGAGATGCCAAGTCAAGTCAAGAAAAAAAAAGTCATACTTAAGTCATATTTAATTAATTACACAAATAGATTTTAGCATTTCTACTCCCATTTTAAGAAAGCTTAGCACGTTTTGAGTCATTCATTATAATTTAATGTTTATGACAGAAAAATAGAATAAGTGATAATAAGTGGATTATTACCACATTTTAGTCTGGGAAATCATCATAAACATTTTATGGCTGCCCTTTGTGTGTGTGAAGTCCATGCATTTGCTTTTAATTCTTTTGCTTTTTTTTTTTAGGTGGTTGTGCGAGTGAATGACGTACCAGCCCAATGTGTGGGTTCCTGTTCTTTCCAGTACCTCCCAGGGTCAACTCCCAGGGTTCATTCCATGTGGTATTCTCTTGGTATGATTTGTGATGTAGCTCTGATCGTCAATTTTAGATTCAGTGATTTTGTTAGAGACTATGAAGGTGGTGATGGGTGGATAGAAGATGCAATAGTTCTTTAAGCAGAGCTTGAATGATACAGCAGAAAGTGCATTGTTTGTTCCACTAAGAGATATGATTATTATTTGAAATGGGCGTAGGTGGGTTTTTTGATGACTTTAAGTGTTTCATTTTCTTTGTCCTTTATTTTGAAGTATTCTTGATTTTGATTCTCTCTTTCTTTCCCAATGACCTCTTATTAGTAGTTTGAGAAAATTTAAGATGGAGGCTATGGACTACAATAATAAATGCAGTGTCCAACATTTGAGTCAGCATCTAACTCCCTGAATTTTGGGGAGAAAAGGTGACAGAGATCAAATGCTTGATGTGAGAGTATGATCTCTTAAGTGGAATTATATCACTGAGAGATGATTTTGTTTCTAAATTTCTTTCTTCTTTTTAGATGGTGACACCAACCTACTGGTTTATATTACTGGAACTGGTTTATCCGGTGATTCCAAGACCTTACAGGTTATGGTGAACAGAACAAGTTGCAAAATTATTTTCTCAAACCAAACGGTTGTGGTGTGTCAGGCAGACCTGCTACCAGTGGGCGTGCATCAGGTCTTGGTGTTGGTGAGACCCTCTGGTCTAGCTGTCAATGCCAGCGGAGAAGACCTCCTCCTATACCTGGAACCCAGGCTGGCCTCTGTGGAGCCTTCCAGAGCTGCAGAGATTGGTAATCTGGGAGAGGGCTGTACAAGATGTCTGACCTTCTGAATATAATGTTCTTGCCTGTATGCACAGACTCCAAAGCTCTTTGTTTTCTGTTTCTTCTAATAGGGAATAGCCATTTGAGCCCTGAGTTGAACTCTTTTGTCATGTAAAAGACTATGGTTTGGCTGGTGGTGTCAGGCACACTGGGTGAGGGTGTCAAACACGCTGTCTATTGGGCCAGCGAAGATGGTGCTAGACTGAGAGTTAGGATGTGTCCCTGGTCTTGGTCCTACTGCAAGTCACACATGTGAACTTAGACATTTCAGTTACTTCTATGGAGCTTAATTTCTTAAAAATAATAATGATAACACCAACAGTATCATTTATTGTGTACCTCTTCAAAGTAGCCCCATATCCTAAATACTTAAAGCTGCCTAAAGATGGAATTATTGTCCCCATGTTTTTCTGGTGAGATAAGGCTGGCTGGCTCTCAGAGGAAGGTGACTTACCTAGAACTTCCTATGGGAGGAGCTGAACCTAGCATACCGCCAGAACCCTCTGATGCCAGGCCCAGGTTGCTTTTCGGTACCTCACTGTCTAACTTAGAGAGTGGCTTGGTGGTGCTTCCTTTATAGGGTCTGTAGCTTTGTGTGAGAATGAGCCAACGAATGGGAAAGTCCCTTTAAAAGTGAAAACATTGGATAAATGTGAAGTATCAGTCTTTCCCACTCACTGGGGGCTTTGTGCTTAGTTGGTCCTTCACAAATGCACATTAGCAGTGTACTGATGTGTGTTATATAACAATGATGTGCATTACTGATGTACACCGGGTGTTGGGTAACATGAAAACCCACTACTATCTGAGTAGTGGAGAATCCAGGGCAATAAACCTCATCCATATCACCACCACCCATGGGGTCTGAGTTGCATGAAAAATGAGATCTCTACATGACTTGCTCTTTCGTGAGGGACACATCCATCTTAACATAGCCCAGCTAGATTTTAAAAATCTCAGGAATACAGTACTCAAGCCTATGTTTGCTGGTGTATACATTTTGCAGCACAAATTTATTTCCTTAGTGCTTCAGATTTTTGTAATTGCTCTGGTCGCGAGAGACTTGGGGCTCAGAATCTATCAGTCACTGTACTCTGGTCACAAACTTAGTATTCACAGGAGCAGTTTGTCTCTCACACTAAAGTAAGAGTAGATCCTCTTAAAAGAAGGAATCATGTGGTCCCTCCCCACCTCATCTGCTTAGGAAACAGACTGAGCTCTTATTTCTCAGTGATTTAAGGAAGGAGCCTGATATGTGGTACTCAGAGTGAAAGATCAGACCCTGTATTAACCTGATTTGAGTTTAGGGCATCTAAGATTCTTCTTATGCAATTTATAGGTGGTTTAGTCTTCTTACAATGTGCCTTTTGCAATTCGGGCCACACTGACCTCCTTTAGGTCCTGGCACTAGATTGACGACATGACATGGTCACCTGTTTCCCCTACATGGAGTGCCTACAAAGGTAGGGAGGACATCAGTCCCACTTTTCCCTGGACTGAGGAGTTCCCAGGATGCAAACCTTTCAATTCTTGAAACCAGAATGCAGAACTTTAGTGGTCAAAATCAGTTCCAGGAAAATCAGACTGAATTGGTCATTTTCAGGATGTGGTGTACCAACAACCCCTAGCGAAAGGGTTTGAAGTTGTGGGAGGAGCATATGTCTTCCTCTTATATTTTAGCCAAGGATGGAAAACTCTGAGTAGACCTAATGCCAGGTGAGTACAAATTCTCTTCATTCAGATTAAGGAGAAGGGAGGAGGGAGAGGCTGTAACTGCTGTTTTCCTTGTACCTTGTTTAAAAGTTCCCTGTTAACTCTGCCACCTGCATAGACTCAACCAGTGTTCCTCACCCACCCCAGACTAATTGTACCACCTGTGCAGAGCCCTGTGCTGGGCATGGAAGACCCCAGTACATAATGTGGGCCTGAGCCAATAATGGCTGTGTCATTTCAATACATTTTACACACAAATAGTATTCTATTGTCTGGCTGTATCACACTTTGTTTATCCATTTATCTCATGATGTGTGTTGAGGGTGTTTCTACTTTTGGCTATTGTGATCATTTGTTTGTTTTTTTGGTCTTTTCGAGACAGGGTCAGTTCAGGCTGGCCTTAAGCTCACTTTGTAGCCCAGGCTGGCCTCAAACTTGCAATGATCCTCCTGCCTCAACCTCTCAAGTGCTGGGATTACAGGCATGTGCCACCATGCCCACCTACTTTTGGCTATTGTGAATAATACTACTTTGAATATTTATGTATGAAGATTTATGTGGATACAAGTGATAAAGCTATATATATCATAAGAAACTGGCAAATATCAACATAGAAAACAAAATAAAAAAGAGAAAATAGAATATTTGTTGCAGAAGCAAAATGCAACCCCAGACCTCCAGCCCACCCAGAACAAGCTGGGAACTCAAGGAGATAGATGAAACTAGAAATCAGACACTGGAACTTTCTGAAATGATAGCATCAGAAATGAAAAAAAAGTGAAAAGGCTATGGGAAAAATAATCTCTCAGGTAAAGAATGAAATGATGCTTAAAATCAAGATATTAGAGAAGACACAGATAAAAGAATAGATGAGCTTAGAAAAAGGATGGAAATAAAAAATCCCCAGCATAGGAAAGAAATGGAATCCATGAAACAGATCCAAATAGAAATCCAAGAGATTAAAACCTCCATTCAAAGTATATGCAACAAGTTGAATGAACGAGAGGATAGGATTTCAGATCTTGAAGATGGAATTGCGGCTAGTGATAATGAAGATAAAGATATCTTAAAATAGCAGGAGACTATCAAAAATCAATTCAACAGCTACAAGATAAAGCAAAGAAGAATAACATAAGATTGATTGGGGTCAATGAGAAAACTGGAGACAGCACAAATGACATAAAAATCTCTTCATACAAATAATGGCAGAAAACTTCCCAAGTGTGGATAAAGAATTTGACATATAAATAAATGGAGCATATAGAACTCCAAACAATCCTGACCAAAATGAAGCTACACCAAGACATATAATAATCAAGATTCCATAAATTCAGCACAAGAACAGAATATTAAAGGCTATTAAAGAAAAGAAACAGATCACCTATAAAGGAAAGCCTGTCAGAGGCATGGCAAACTTCTCCACACAAACTCTCAAGTTTAAATTCAAGAAGTAGTTGAGGAAAGAGAGAAAGAGTGTCTATAGAAAAGAATGGAAAGGAAAGGTAAGAAACCTAAACATTGAAAAAAGAAGGAAGAAAGAGGAAGAGAATGAAAAAGAAAAGAAGAGTTTGAAATATTTTAAGTCCTAAAAGAAAACAACATTCATCCCAGATTGATGTATTCTGCAAAGCTATCTTTCAAAATTAATGGAGAAATAAGATACTTCCATGACAAAGAACAACTGAAGAGATTTATGAATACCAAACCAAAGCTACAAAGAGAACTGAAAGATATTCTAGACAAAGATAAAAATGACTACAATTACAAGAATAACAACAGAAAGAAACCACCAGGCAGTGCAAGAGGAAAAAAGTAGGGAAACAACAAGAAAACACCATGACCAAGATAAGCAAATACATATCAGTTATAACTACTAATGTAAATGGCCTCAATTCACCAATCAAAAGAAGCAGACTGGTAGAGTGGGTCAAGAAACAAGACTCAACAATATGCTGTATACAAGAAACACATTTCACTCAAAAAGAAATTCATAGACTGAAAAATCAAAGGATGAAAACAATCTTCCATGTGACAGAAACCCAGAAAAAAGCAGGGGTAACTTTTCTGTTTGCAGGGAATCTGAAAGTCAAACTAAGAATGATCACAAGGAAGAAAGAAGGTCACTCCAACTACATACTTGTTAGGGGAAAACTTCAAGAGGAAGAGATAACAATCACAAATATACGTGCACCAAATACAGGTGCACTAAAGTATACAAGAAAATTATTAATAGACATGAAAAATCAAATAAGTAATAATACAATTTTAATGGGAAACCTCAATACTCCATTGTCACAAAGATATAGATAAACTAGACAAAAAAATCAGCAAAGAAATAACAGAGCTGAACCAAACCTGTGAACAAATGGACTTAGTAGATGCTTCCAGACTGTTCCACCTAAAATCATCAGAATACAAATTCTTCTCAGCTACACATGGAACATTCACTGAAATAGACCATAATCTAGCCCCAGAACATGCTTAAGTAGATGCAAAGGAATTGAAATTATCTCATGCGTATTATCTGACCACAGTGCAATGAAATTGGAAATTAATGACAAAAAGAACCACAAAAACTCTATAAACACATGCAAATTAGATAATAACCTCCTAAACAATCAATGGGTCACAAATTAAATAAAGAGGGCCGGGGATATAACTCAGTGGCACAGTGCCTACCTGGCAAGCACAAAGTCCTGAGTTCAATTCCTAGTACCAGAAAAAAGTAATAAAGGAACAAAGTAAACAATATCTAAAACTAAATGAGAATACAGATAAAACAAAGTGGAACTTATGGGACACAATGAAAACAGTCCTAGGAGGGAAATTTATAGAGGTGAATTCCCACATTAGGAAAACAGAATGAGCACAGATAAACAACTTAAAGTAACAACTCAAACTTCTAGAGAAAGAAGAGCAAAGCCCATAGAAGGGAGGAAGTTATAAAGATCAGAGCAGAAACTGACACAAGGGAGACCAAGAAAACAATAGAAAGATTAATGAGTCAAAGGGTTGGTTCCTTGAAAAAATAAATAAAATTGATAAGCCCCTAGTCAACCTTATGAAAACAGAAAAGACAAGACTCAAATTTGTGCACTGAGGAATGATAAAGTGAAGTCACTACAGATCCTATGATTCTTCAGATCATCAATACCAGCTTCAAAGATCTTTACTCTCATAGGATGGGAAACACAGAAGAAATGGGCAGATACCTAGATGTGTATGAATTACCAAAGCTGAATCCAGAAGATATAAAAATTCTCAATAACCCAATACCAGTTAATGAGATTGAAAATGTAATTAAAATCTTACCAACAAAGAAAAGCCCAGGTCCTGATGGATTAACTGTTGAATTCTACAAGAAATTTAGAGAAGATTTAATACCAATACTTGACAAACTCTTTAATGAAGTTGAAATGAAAGCAATACTCCCTAACTTATTACTGGAGGCAAGTAGGACCCCAATACCCAAACCAGAGGAAGAACCATCCAAAAAATGAGAACTATAGGCCAGTCTCCCTAATGAATATATGTGCAAAAATTCCCAATAAGATACTAACAAACAGAATTCAACAAATTATCAAGAAGACTATACACCATGACCTGCAGGGATTTATCCCAGGAATTCAGGGATGGTTTATCATACACAAATCCATAAATGTGATACACTATATCAACAGAGCCAAAGACAAAAATCATATGGTCATCTCATATGGTCTTCTTGATGAAGACCAGCACTCATTCATGATAAAAACCCTACAGAAAATTGGAATAGATGGTCTCTATCTGAATCTGATACAAATCAATGACCAATATCATACTAAATGGATGGAAAAGGAAAGCTTTCATTCTAAAATCAATATCAAGACAAAGATGTCCATTATCACCACTCCTTTTCAGTATAGCTCTGGAAATATTAGCCAGAGCAATTAGATGAGAGAGAAATAAAAGGGATAAAGATAGGCAAGGAAGAAGTTAAATTATCATTATTTACAGATGACATGATACTCTACATAGAAGACCCCAAAAACTCCACCAAAATACTCCTAGAATAACTAAATTCAGTTGCATGGATGGATACAAATTCAATTCCAAAGAAGCAATAGCATTGTTGTGCACAAACAACAAACTTACTGAGAGAGAAATTAAGGAAATTACACCCTTTGCAATAGCATCCAAAAAATGAAATACTTAGGAGTCAATCGAACAGAAGAATTAAAAGATCTATGCATTGAAAATTACAGTACTCTGAGAAAGGAGATCAAAGCCGGTATCAGAAAATGGGTAGGTATACCTTGCTCATGGATAGGAATAACCAACATTGTGCAAATAGCCATACTCTGAAAATTGTCGTACAGATTTAATGTAATCCCAATCAAAATGCTATTGGCATACCTCACAGAACTATAGACAATATTCCTAAAATTCCTTTGGAAACAGAAGAGGCCTAGAAGAGTGAAGGTGATCTGGGCAACAAAGGCAAGACGGGAGGCATCACAATCCCCAATTTGAAATTATACTACAGAGCTACTGTGATAAAATCAGCATGGTACTGGTGATAAAACAGACCTGAGGAACAGTGGAAAAGATTAGAAGACATGGACACAGCTACAAACACACTCAGCGACCTTATCTTTGACACGGAGCCAAACATGTTCACTGGAAGAAAGACAACCTCTTTCATAAATAGTACTGGAAAAACTGGCTCTGTACATGTTGAAGCCTAAAATTAGACCCATGTTTATCACCATGCATCAAACTAAAGTCAAAATAGATGAAAGATCTAAATATTAAAACAGAAACACTAAATCTACTGGAAGAGAAAATAGGTAGAAATCTTGAAGACACAGGGGTAGGCAGAGACTTCATGAACGAAACCCGAACTGCACTGGAAACACTTCAAAGAATCAACCACTGCGATCTCATCCTATTAAAAAGCTTTTGTACATCAAAAGAAATCACCAGTAGAGTGAGAAGACAACTGACAGAGTGGGAAAAATTTCAGCTAACTGTCCCTCAGAGAAAGGACTTATATCTAGAATATACAAAGAATTGAAAAAAATCAGACCCCCAGAATTCAAAGGCCCAATCCACAAATCAGCATCTGAGATGAATATGCGCTTCTTGGATGAAGAAATACAAATGGCAAATGAATACATGAAAATATGTTCAACATCATTGGTCATTAGAGAGATACAAATTTAAACAACATTTAGATTCCATCTCACCCCAGTAAGAATAGCTATTATCGATAAATCAACCAATAACAAATGCTGGAAAGGCTGTGGTGAGAAAGGAACCCCTCTCCACTGTTGGTGGGAATGTAGACTGGTGCAACCACTTTGTAAATCAGTCTGGAGATTCACAAAAACTAAGATTAGGGGTACCATTTAATCCAGCTATTTCCCCTCAGAGTATTTTCCCAGAGGAATTAAAAACATCATATAATAGTGATATATGTGCACCCATATTTATAGAGGCACGATTTGTCATAGTAAAATTTTGGAAACAACACAAATGTCCATCAACTCAGGAATTAATAAAAAAGATGTATTTTTATTCAGTGGAGTACTACTCAGCTACAAAGAAGGATAAACAAGACATTTATGGTGAAATGGGTGCGACTTGACTCTGTACTCATGCATGAAATGAATCAGTCTCACATGTGTAAACATCATATTGTCTCCCAGTGTAAGAAGCCTAAAGAGTAATAAGACTCAAAATGTACAATAGATATTGTGAAATGGGAAGAAAATGCTCAAAAGGAAAGAGAAACTGGACTGGAGGAAAGGAGAAAAGAAGGAATGGAAAAGGGAAAATAAATAAATACATGTACACACACACACAAGATAGTTAAAATAATTATAGTACTAATTACTATTAGCTCATTGAAGGTTCATACCTATATTGTTTGATTAAATTCTCATTGCTGTATCTTGTCATATGAGCAACTATTTGAATATAACAATACACAATGTACTAACCATTTTTACTCTCCTATAATCTTGTTTTGAAATTTTATACAATTATTTTATTGTTTATTTTTCTTTTCTTTAAAATAAAAAAAATCAGATTTAGTTTCTTGTTGTTATTTGCTCATTTTACTACTCAATAACTAATCCATTATTGACGTGCTCAAGTAGAATACCATGTTTATCACATCCTGCAGTTCCATTTTTATCTGGATTTCTTTCTGGAAACTGCTCCATTAACCTCTCTGTCTGAGCATGCTGCATTACTACACCCTAACTCCAGTTTTAAAACAGATATTTCAGTGCCTGGCAGAAGATCTCTTTACTTTTAATTTTGAAATTTTGCTTTCTGGCTATTCTTTCATTTAACTTTCAAACTATCTTGTCTAGTTTAAATAAAAAATCTATTCATACTTTCATCGGAATTGCATTGGTGTGCCTGTTTAATTTAGAGAGATTATGATGATCATTCTTTCCATCCATTTATTTAGTTTACTTATGTAAATATTAAGCAACTTATTAGACTCTTCAGAAATATTTAAAAATTGTCTTCAGTTTTTTAATCTTGAATTTGTATTGCCAGTTTTATTTACAGATATTGTATCTTTTATACAATATAAAAGTGTATATCTTGTATACAAGATATCCTGTAAGTTAATCTTTTCTCTATTTTGTTCTTTAACTTAGAAGTCTAATGTAGTCTTTTACAATTGTGCTTCTTGGCATATATGCTTTAGGTCCTTCTTCCACCCAGTCACATGTCACAAATGTTGTCATGGGTTGTGTTAGCCACCTTCTCTTCCTTCTCCTCCTTCTCCTCATCCTCCTCCTTCTTCTTTGTTTTTTGAGAGAATCTCACTATATAGCCCACACTGGCCGTGAACAAGCTATGATCCTCTTGCCTCTGCCTCCCTAGTGCTGGGATTCTAGTGCGAGCTGTCACAACCAGTTCTGCTTCTTGCTCCTGCTTCCTCCTCATACTCAGGAGTACAACTCTCTTATTTTGTGGCCTTTACTACTTCCCTGAGTTACATCCTAGGAAGATGACAAACCAGAATAACATTCCTCATCCATTCTAATTGAGTCTTCTAGTGGGGCATGGTGGTACACTCAGGTAGTTCCAGCCACTCTAGAGGCTGAGGCAGGGGGATCACTAATGCCAATGAGTTCCAAACCAGTCTGGGCAGCATACCAAGACTGTATCTCAAAAAAATGAAAAGTGAATTTTCTGTTCACCATATAGACCAGGGGCTGTTCCTCCACATAAGAACTGTGCTGTGGTGTCCACAGGATGTTGGGATTGTTTCTTTGCTTGCTAATATCTGCAGTGAGGAGATGGGGGTTGCTAGGGCTGACTTTCAGTGGTCATCAGAGAAATCCAATGGCCCTGAGTGGCAGTTGTTTTTTTTACCATATGTTGAGTAGAGTCCAGTGTGTGTGCTATCAAAATCAACAAGTTGGAAAGCCAAGCACCGTCATCAGCAGATGGAAAAAATGAGGACTGGTGAGCTAGAGATACTACTGCAAATAACCTGACTTACCCAACTGTAACACTGTCCTGCACTTGGTCTCTCAGGAAAACAAAACCTTTATAGGACTAGCAGAAATCATGTTTTAGAATTTGGAACAGAAAGAATTTGCAGAGACTGCTTCTGTGACTCATGGCAATAGTGCATCATCCTTATGTCCTATTCTTAAAGGTCTCCAGGATGCTTTAATACTTTTTCACTGTTTTTCCTCTTTATGTATGGTAATTTATAGATTTCAGTTCAGCCTTTTTTCTCCAGTTTGATGATGGCTGTCATGTCTAGAGAGCTTTATATTTTAATTTCATTTTTTTACTCTTGTGGATAATTAAATTTTGTCTGCCTATATATGGGTGTGGGTCCTGCATGAAAATGCTATTTTTGTTGCAGGAGGGCTCTGGGCCACCATCCGAGGCTCTAGTTTGGAAGGTGTTAGCCTGGTGTTATTTGGATCTCAGTCTTGTGCAATTAATGTCACTACAAGAAATTCACGAAGAATTCAATGCAAAGTTCCACCCAGGGTAAGTGGATTTTTCTGGTCATATCTTTCTATCTGGGTGGGAAGCCATTATTAATATAAAGTTTTCCACAAATCACTTCTTCGGACTGAATGAAATGACATCAACTTCTCATTAAAACAGTGTGCTTGTATGACACATACTGTCTGTTTTGCTATGAAGAGGGAAATGGATTGTACCTATGGAGCTTGCAGTTAATGCAAGTTAATTCCTTTAAAAACAAAGCAACCCAGGCAGTCTTTATTAGTCAGCTTGTTTGTTACTAGGACAAAATACCTGACATACATTACCTAAAAGAGAAAAGAATTATTTTTGCTCACAATTTCAGAGGCTGGCTGCAAGACACAGACATGGTAGAGGGGATGGCAGAGCAAAGCCATTTGCCTCATGGTGATTGGAAGCAGAGAGGGAGAGAGAAAGAGCAAATAGAGCTGAGGAGAGAAGGGGTTGGAGAAGAGAATGCACCCTCCCAGGTCATGCCCCAGTGACCCACCTCCTGCACCCAGGGCCACACCTCCTAACAGCACATCCAGCGATAAACTCATCAATGGATTAACCCACTGATGAGTATAGCTCCTGGTGACCCAATCGCCTTATAAAAAGACCCATCTTTGAATGCATTAGACCTCTGGGGACATTTTAGATCATGGTACTTAACACTGTCCTTGTTCATACCTTCAGTGAATATTAATACCACAGCAAGAGCAAATTCATCTAGTACACATTTTGAAGGTGGTTTACAAAACTTTCTTTCTTAAGCAAATGACAACTTAATTTTCAACAGCAATTTTGTTTTCTGGCATGGATGTTAATGATGGGACTTAGAAAATTCTAGAGTACCTGATTTTTATGAAGTGTCTTTCTAGTTATTTTCTATTGCTTCATTTTTCCCTTAAAGGCAATCCCTGCATAGGGTGTGGTGGCACACACCTGTAATCTCAGCACGTAGGAGGCTCAGGCAAGAGGATCTGAGAGAGTTCGGGGCCAGCCTAGGCTACATATGAGTTCAGGGGCAGCCTGAACTACATAGTGAGATTCTGTGTCAAAGAACAAACAAACAAAGTCTCTGAGTTCCCCCTTCTCTTCTATTGCATGTGCCACTGAAGACTTGAACTGGTCCCTTCCCTGGTGCACTGGTAAGAGTCACACTTGCAGATGCATTTGCACTTTGTGTTAGGAGTTTTTGCCAGTGTCATCTGCATTGCTAATGTACTCCTGGAGACAGCTGTGTACTGAACCAATAAAGATCCCTTGAAACATAGGGCTTGGAATAACTTTTGATCCCTGGTCCTTCAATTTTATCTTATCTAAATCCCTAAATATTTGAAAAGCTAGCTTTTCTATGCAAGCCACATGCAATTCCAATATATAGTTGTACTATAATTTGTGTAACTATTCCCTATCATGGAGCATTTAGATAATTTCTAAATTTTCCCTCTGTAAACAACAGAAATTTGATCATCCTGTTACTATATGTATGAGCACATTTATTTTCTTAGGATAAATTTATCTAAGTTCTAATGTTGTGACATGCAGTATTCAGTTATTGAAATTCCTTTTCAGTTTATACTCCCACCATCTGCACACAAGTGTCTAATTCTATACATTGTCACTTCAGTGTATATTTACAATTTTAGTAGGTAAAATTTGTACAGTCTGGGTTTCTTTTCTAGAGAGGCAAATTTTAATTTTGATTAAATTAATTAAATTTTATTTTTCTAGAGAGGCAAATTTTAATTTTGATTAAATTTTGATTAAATTAATTTTGATTAAATTTGATTAAATTTTGATTAAATTTTGATTAAATTTGATTAAATTTGATTAATTGATTAAATTAATTAAATTTTATATTACTTGTATACTTGCGACGATGTAGAGGAAAACAGTATAACAGTCATGGTCCCCTGTCCCTCAGCTCTTCCAGGCCTCCTTTCTGGAACAGTCACTTCTAATTCTTTTGACTGCCATTAAAGAGATATGTTGTTCAATGAATAGAACATGTTTTCATTATTATAGTTATTTAAATGGTACTGGCAGGGTCAGAATATTTTTTTATTTTGTAGTTCTTCTTTTCCCTAGAGTTTTTTTTCTTTTGATTAATTGATTGATTTTTGCTTTATTTTTATTAGTACATGATTGTCACACATATTGATCATATTCCTCATAGAGAATTTATACCTGTATATAATAAATCTTAATCCTTTTCTTTCTCCATTCCCTTCTCCTCCCTTCAAGCCCTTCTTCCCTCCCCATAGACAAAAGCTTTGCTTCAATCTTTTTCCTTCCATTCATTTTTTCCTTTTCCCTTCCTTCCCTTTCCCCTACTTCCTCTCTTGCTCCCCTTCCTATTTGAACATGCTCTTCCTACTTCACAATATCTATCCTCCATTATGCTCCCTACCTGCCCTTTGGGTTTCTTACAGAAGAGAAGCAATGCTGTATTTAAACTTGTGTGTCCAGTTTATTTCACTTAGGATTATGATCTTGAAGTACACCCATTTTCCTACAAATGACTCATGTTTAGTCTTCTTTATGGCAGACCAATACTACACTATACATGAAAACCACATTTTCTTTATCCATTCATCTGTTGATGGGCATGTGACCTGTTTGCAAGATTAAGCTATTACAAAATGTACTGCTGTAACCATCGGTGTGCGTGTATCACTGTGGTGTGGTAATTCTAAATAACCCAATGTCAGTCAATGAAATTGAAGAAGTAATTTAAAAAACTCTCTTTTTTCTTAGAATGTTTTTTTAATTATAGAAATCCACCACCTTTTGAAAAAAGTTTCATCGTGTAAATTACTCTTTTCCTTGAAGCAGTTTTTCTGCTTCAGTCTAGGTTGGTTATTTTCTAAATTTATTCTACAGATTTCTTCTTAGGACTTCTTTTGATTGCTGTTCTTTGGAGTGTATATATTCTTTTTTATTTTTACTTATCTATGGGAGTATTACCTTCAGAAACAACCTACAAAAGACAATATGGGAGGGAATTGTCTGAGTGCTTGTATATCTGAAAATACTCATCATAGCTTACTGGTAGTTTAGCTGGGTATAGACATTTATTTGCACTTGCCTTTTATTTTCAGAAGCAACTGGTGTGTTAATTGTAAACCGTCCATGTTTGCCTTTTAGCAGATCCTTCTACATCTGTTCAACACAGAGATTATCTAATTTGAGCACTTAAATGTGTATGAAACTTGAAAGTCACAAATAGAACACTTTATCAACTAACAGACTTTTCCTTCCTCAAATAAAACTGAAATTTGTTCTTAAAAACTGATTTTTCAAAATGGGGAGGGGAAAGAGAAGGAGAGAGGGGGAAAGGAAAGAAGGAAAAAGTAAAAAAAAGAGAAAGAAGGCTTTCTCAGAAACAAAGAAAAAATGGAAACACAGCTTTTGTAAATTGTGAGGGGAGGAGGGGTTGAAGGGAGGGCAGGGGAATGGAGAAAAAAAGAATCAAGTTATATCGTGTACAGATAGAAATTCTCTATGATGAATATGATCATTATGTATACCTAAAATGTACCAATAAAATCTGATTTAAAAAGATCCCTATGAGTTCAAGGCAGGCTTGGATTAAATAATGAGACCTTCTAAGAAATAAATAAATAAATAAGTAAATAGATACATACTAGAATATAACCAGAATAAAAATTGATTTTCTAGGGGCTGGATGGTTATGTGGTGAATGTGACTGTATTCAGCGGGGACCACTCTGCAGTTCTGCCAGGAGCATTTACGTATGTTTCCTCTTTAAATCCAGTGATCGTGTCTCTAAGCAGAAACAGAAGCAGTGTAGCAGGTAAAATACAACACCACTTGATCTGTTTTGATTTCAGAGCATTGATCCTATAAAAGCTCAATCCATGGCCTATGATTTTTACTGTATTTTGAATAGATTTTTTTTTCTGAACACAAGGCCTCTTTGTTCATGTTAGCTCTCATTGAATTATTTTTATGTCTGTTTTCCCCTCTGTAAAATTTGGACCATTTCCATGTTGAAAATGATGTGAAAATTCACAGGTAATAATTCTGTAAATATTTATTGAGTTTCTAGTATATGCTCACGATAGCACTGACACATAATAGAGTTTAATCCTAACATAAATTTATAGGATCAGTAACTTCAGTTTATAGATAAGAAACTTATGGAATACAGGTATTAATAAAAAAACTTTTCTAAAATACTATCTTTAGTAAGTAATAGAGTTAAGATCTGAACACAAGCAGTCTATTTGAAGATCCCAAGCATTTAGCCTCTTATAGTTAAATATAATTTTTGGTAGCAGGTTCTATTGTGGTGACTATTTAATACAGTAAGAGAATAAGGTTTTCTAAATTAAGAATAAGTCTATATTTTAAAAAATGACTTTTTTAGCATCAATTACATGAAATAGCTTAATCTTTATTTGATGATATAAGTGATATGATAGGATGGAATTATAACAATTTCCTGCCATGACATAACAATATAAATTTGGAAAAGTAGCAGGTAATATACATTTTTGTTTAATTGAACACCAGAGAATAAAGAGCTAATGGCAACCTTAACTAAAAGTTCATTTTGAAAAGACTTACCGTATTTCCCAAAGAAAAAGCTTTAATTCAATTTTTCTGGTACTATTTTCATTTTTGATAGCTGAGGAGTACATAAATAAAAGGAAGTGTCCTTTAACTTCTCAAAATTATTCAACTAAGATAGCACAGAAGAAGAATTTGCTGCCTCAGGCGATCAAAGTGTGCAAAATTCCCTAGTGGTATAGATTCTTCTTAGTGAGGCAGGAAAGGGAGGAGAAGACTTCATGTTATATTTAGATTTCAGTGATTTTAACTTTTCATAAAAATTTCTACCCATAATGAAAGAATAAATACACTGCATCAGTGCCTCAGAGGCATCTAGGATTAGCTTGTCAATGGACCAGAAGCCCAAGGAATTCATGCTATTGATACACACAGTGTACTGCATTCTTTGTAAAACTTCACTTTTATTTAAATCTTCCTGTGGGCAGAATAAGGAACACATCTTAGAAGCTACCAAGTGTGGTAGCCTTTTGGGAAAGTTTCTTAAGTTGAGGTGCTGTATATCTCCATCCACAGATAATGCTGACAATGACTGTGATGCCAAGATGGAATGGAAGGAAAAAAGAAGGAGGGATAGGAGGAGGGGAGGAAGAATGTGACGTGCAGTATTACTAGAGCTAGGCTTTGTATTTAGAAAGAACAGGGTTCTAATGAATCCCAGTTCAACCTCTTGTCCATGAAAAAAAATGGATACATTAAGGTAACTTTATTTGAGCAAAGAATGTTTTGTGAATTTATCAGCTGTCAGAGCCAGAAGAACTTCCCAAATCTCCACTCCACAATGTGGGCGGGAAGCATGTATAGACAAAATGAGGAACAGACACAGTTTGGCTGGTGGGAGGCTGAAGCTGGAGGATTACTGTGAGTTTGGGGGCAGCCTGGGCGACATAGGGAGTTCAAGGCCAGCCTGGACTATAGTGAGAACCTATGTCACAAAAACAAATCAAAAACAAAAACACAAAACTAGGCAGCGGGGAGGGAAGAGAAGAGAGAAGAGAAGAGAAGAGAAGAGAAGAGAAGAGGAGGGGAGGGCAGGGGAGGGGAGGGGAAAGGAGAGGAGAGGAGAGGAGAGGCGAAGAGAAGAGAAACAGCTTGGTTGGCTACACCTAGACATTTGCCATAGATGAGCATGGTTTGATCACTTTACAACCTATAATTGGCTGAAGCTCTACTGCTCTGATTGGCCGACACTAAGCTAGTTGTTACAAAAAATACACTCCTAAGTTGGGCTTTCAATGTGTTTGCTGCTGAGTTAAGTTGCTCTTTGTTACACCTAGGGACTCAAGCCTCAGGCCAAATTTAGTTTACCTCACATGTAGCCGCAGCCTTCCAAGCAGAGGTTGAGGAGACACAGAGAAGAACAGAAGATGAGGAAGTGAGGAAGAACATAAAGATAATTAAGACTTTTAAAAAATTCTGCAACATCTATTCTTTCCCAGGATATTTAAGTTCATTCTTACACCAAACCACACAGGATGGACTTTACTGCCATCTTATTTATGAAAAATCTGTCTTTGAAGGTCCAAAATAAGTCCCTCAGAGTCACAGAGGTGGTGAAAGGGCAGATCAAAGATTTGAATGCCAAGTTACAACATTCTCATCTAACCCTCTTCTTTGGCTTTTCTCTTTCATACAGCCTCTCTCTGCTGTTAATCTAGCTGGCCATCCCTGTAGAGATGCCAGCTCTGCCAAGGTCCTGAAATGTCAAAGGGCAAAGGAACATCAGAGGCACTTTTCACTGAGCTGTGGCACACTCAGACCCAGCGAGGGCAAATGCATTGCTTCTACTCCCGCTGTTGCCCACTTAGTTTCTGGCCTTCATTAACACCTGTTGTCCGCAGACTAGATCTCTCCTTCCCTTATATTTTTGTTCTGTCTTATAGACCAGAAGAATAGCTCTAATTATATCTTTGCTTTGCTTAGAAGCCTTTGGAGATCTCCCCTGTACAATGAATTAAGTAGAAACCTTTCAGAATTTATTGTTCTTGTGCTCAGTCACAGACACACCATGGTTGACCCATTCCCGTAGAGTATTGCATGGGGGGACATGCAATACACAAATCATAATATTCTGCCCCTGGCCCCCCCAAAGACTCATGTACATCCCTTTTTGTTTGTTTGTTTGTTTTTTTTTCTGGTACCGGGAATCGAACTCACAACGTTGTGCTTGCCAGGCAGGCACTGTGCCGCTGAGCTAAATCCCCAGCCCTCATGTACATCCCTTTATGTAAAAGGCATTCTAGTCCATCTCTAAGAGTTGCCAAAGTCCTGACAGTTTCAGGATTGCTGAAAATTCCAAGTCCCAGGTCTTCTCTGAGATTTAAGGCAAACTCTTTGCTGTGAGCCCCTCTACAAAGGAAAAGTTAAACACTTCCAACATTCAATGGCACAAGATAAACATTACCATTCCATAAGGTACAAACACAGGAATATAAAGCACTGGGACCAAAGCAAGTCCACCATCCAGCAGGGCTAACATTAAGTCCTGTAGCTCCATGTCCAGCATCTGAAGCAATGTGTGGCACATTGTGAGCTCCAAAGGGCTTGCATGACTCTACCCCTAAGGTACTTCTGATGGTTACAGTTCCCATGGCTTCTGTCTTAGGCCTGCTTTGCTCCCTCCTTGCAGCTTTCCTCAGACAATCCACATTCTTGGATTCTACAAACTTCTGAGGTCTCCACTGAACTTTAAGTTTCATACTCACAGCTTCACATACTGCTCTCTCAGGGGCACATTGCCTGGCCTCCCAGGCCTTTTGATATCTAAGTGGAAGCCTTCTTAACCTCAGAACTCTTGAATTCTGTCTGCTCCTAAATCCAGTGCCACGTGGATGATGCCAAGGTCTGCTGCCACCTGAAGCAGTAGTCAAGCTTTCTTCTCTCTGGCCATAGGGGGTGAGAGCTTGGATCACTGGGCACTCTGAACCTGATTTTGAGGGACAAATTCTGTATGTCACCACCATTCTGGACCATGGCCCTCTGTGGCTTTCTTCTCAAAGCAGTCTTTTTTTCAGGTTTCAGGCTGCAAAAGGTGGAGACTTGCTGCTTCTTGTGATGCCCTCAGGCCATCTTTTTGATTCTCTTGTTCCTCCTCAGCAATGGAGATCTCCTCAGCTCAATCTTTGCAGTCCACAGCTTTACTGGAGCTTCCTTTCTGGCCAAACCCACAACATTTTAAATCATCCTTCTGAGCTCTTTGCTCTTGATTTTCAACATAAGTCTGGCTAAAAGCCCTCAACAATAGCCATGCCACTGCCTCAACATTTGACTGCCTTAAAATTTCTTCTGCCAGATTAATTAGTCCACTGCCTTTAATCTCAGTCTCAGGCAGTCTCTGGACATGAGCAAAATGCAGAAAAATTTTCTGCCAAGCCATAACACACATCATCTGGAGTCCAACACTCAATGCAGTTCTTCTTCCCAGCAGAAACCTCCTGAACCCAGTCTTCACTCTCAGGATTTCTATCAGCCTTTTTGTCCTCTGAGCTCTGACCAGGCTCTCCCATACAGAACAGCCTAATGCTTCCAGCACTACACTTTCAGGCAACATCTCTGAACCTTTCCAAACTCTTCCCAAAGCCATTCCCAAAGGCTCTTGAAACACATGATCAAGTATAGTCACAACAATGACCCCACTCCTCTGGCACCAAATTCTGTCCTGGTTACTTTTCTGTCATTGCTGAGACAAAATACCTAACACCCAAAATTAAGGAAGGAAAGCTTTATTTAGCTCACAGTTTGTGGAGGCTTCAGTCCATATTTGGCTGGCTCCAAGGCAGAGTGGCACATGGCAGAGGGCAAAAGTTCACGGTGGTGGAAAACAGCAATAGCAACAAGAGCAAAAAGGAGAAGCAGCAGCACCAAGCAGCCTCTTTCTCTCCCTTACATTTTAGGCAAACTATCTGCCCCAGGGCGGCTGCAGCACTCATATCCATACTTCCAACATTGGACCATGAATCAGTCATAAACTCTAGAAACCTGCCTCATGTCTACATGAGGCTTTGTGGGGACATGCAGACACAAACCATAACAGACATCAAATTCTCTCTTTCCAGCCACTAGATAATTAAATGAAAAACTACAAGACATTAGACAAAATTATGAATGTTTATAAATTGAATTCTAAGTCCCAATTTCTCTTTGGCTTTATCTTTCAAATTGAAGGTCAAGTACCATCTTGGTTTTATTATAAGGCCTTTCCTGACATTCAGAATGGTGCTCTGACTGGAATCAGCCCCCTGCTTAGAAGTCTCCTCTCTTAGGGTGTGTCTTGTGCTCATGTGATTTCCTCACCCTTTCTCCTAACTTGGAGTCCTTTTTGAAGGCATGGTCTGTGTTCTTTTTGCCCCCTGTAGCATCTTCCTTGTTGGACTCAGGAAGTATTTGAGTTAAAAGGAACTGAATTTAATTGTACATATTGTACATAGCATTTTAGGAGAGTTACTAATGACACTAAAAGCATTGAAGTAAAAGACAGAGACCTGGACTTGAGCTTTGCTTCCTCCCTCAGTCAGCTGTGAGCCTTGGTTGCTGGGCATCACTTTCCTCGAATACAAAATGCCAGTCACATTAACTAGGCCCTGTAGATGCCAGGACATGGGAGGATCAAATGAGAGAGCGTGCACGAGTGTGCTCCACAAACTATGAACTATAATGCTCACGCATAGCACCGGTACATAGGCTAATGCATGGTAGAGATACACTTAAACTTTTGTGCGTAGAAAAGTGAAGGTTTTAAAAAAAAGGATACTGAGATTTCCTGTTATGAAGACCATCAGCCTTACAAACCACTTCTCACTTTGCCTTTACACAGATCTGTTGGTGCTTCTTGAGTACAGCTGCCTGATGATTTTGCTTTTAATGTTGTTGGGGTTTTAGGCTATAGTTCTGGCAAAAGAGTTGTTGGAAATTTCATTAAAATTAAGTTGGTATTAAAATCCTTAGAGTGTTATGTACATATGTACTAAGACCATGTGTTTAATCCTAAAAGAAACAATGGTGGTTGAGGCCCCAAACCCACATCACAGGCAGTAATGTGCTTTTGTCTGTGCAGGAGGTGAGAGCCTTTTCATTGGAATGGCGCTTCTGGGAAACTACGCAGATCTGGCTGTGGAAGTCCACATCCAGGATACCTTGGTTCAGGTCCATACACAGACAGCTCAGGGCCTGCAGGTAGTGCTGCCCTCGCTGCCCCCCGGCCACCACAGACTTTCAGTTTGCATCAATGGCATTGGCATTCACTCGCAAGGGTAAAGTGGACGCTTGCTCTTAATTTTGCATCTGTTTGACGGTCTGGTGACTTAGTTGGGGAACTTCCTTTTGAGTTAGGTCCTTCACTTTTTTTCTTTTGAAATGGTGGGATAAAGATATGAAACTCACAATATTTGAACAGATCCTGGAAATCCTACAGAGAGTTCACTCATGAGAGGGATAGACGGGAGATTTTTGGTCTACTAGTTGACAAAGGAGGGTCTTTCTGGAGCGTGGCTGGGTAGGGCTGGTAGGGTGAGCGTATGTGCCTGTGCTGTAGATCTTTGTTGGATTGCACCTCGAGCTTTGAATATGTGGTTTACATGATCACACAAGCCCTCATGTTCTCTGTGTCCTAAGGCCTCTTTGCCTGGTATTTATTTCTGTAGACATTTTCTTTACCAATTCTGGAAAGTAGGCAAACTCTACGTGACTGATGTCTGCACATTTTACTGGCCCAGAAAAATGCCCCACACAGCATCTTTTCCCTCCATTTCCCTTTTTCTTCTTTGTCAGGCAGTCTATCCACTCTCATCTCCATCATTGCTGCATTTCTATCTTTCCTCCCTGAAATACAAAGCCCTCCGTAGTCTCACTCTTTCTTTCTCTCTAACTTCCACAGCTCTTTCCTAACAATGTGCCCATGTTCCGCAGGGTCGATCTGTACATCTGGTACACCACTGAAGTCTTCAGCATTGAGCCTTGCTGTGGCTCCCTCTGGGGTGAGTGGTTCCGACATTTCTAGTGTCCCTCATCTAGTGAGGCTACCCATGACACAGGCAGATTTTGTTCCTGGATTAATTCGCTGGTGAGGCACAAAGAGCGAGTAGAGATTAGTTTAGGCTCCATGAGCTGAGTGCTGTACTTAAAAGTGTGAAAACTTGGTGATGCTTAAGTCCAGTGAGCTCAGGAAATTAAAGTACTGTTATGGACTTGAGATGCACCTGGTTTTTTATTAATGGAAAGGCTGAACATCTAGTGGGTAGCAGTATTGAACGGATGTTAGGGAAATAAAGGAAGAGCTTCCTGTATCAGTTTTTCAGACACTGCATGCACAAAAAGAAGAAATGAATCTTTGGTGTCTTTACTTTCCCCTGGGGATGCAGATGAAGGGACGCAAGCAGAAAAGCAAATATCACCATGGGAGAGATAAAAAGAAGAAGTACAGAGCAATCTCTGTAACTATTCATTTTCAGAAAAACATTAAAGCTATTTGTCTGCATATGAATAATGGCGTGAATGTGTGAAGTAGCACATTATCCTTTGAGTATGAGAAAATACTTATTAAAACTTGTTGACTATACTGTAGATTTGTTTACAGTATTAGTTATGTTGCTCCAAACTCCATCCTAAAGGTGGGGTTTGATCTCTGATCATCTCTCAACTACAGAACAGGAAAATGTCCATGAATGTAACAGTAACTTCATCAGCATGGGTTAGGGGCTTTTGTTGCCTCACATATACAGTACTGAAAATATTTGAATATATAATACTGCATATAGAACACTGAAACATGATTGAGAACAATATAGAAGATAAATAGAAGATGTGAATGAACTTTATTACTTTAGCATGCCAGTGGAATGCATATAGAATTGTGTATGCATACTGTACTAAGTGACCTACACACTAGATTACAGGAAGACTAAAACATTGGATTTTTCACTAGCATATAAGCTGACTGAAGAGGCAGCTTCTAGGATGTACAAAGATACTTGGAAATTTTGCCTTAGGTATCTTTCCTATATAACACTTTATTTTATTCGATCTTTTCTGTGAATTTGGTGCATGAGATACCTGTCCACATGATCACAAAATTATCATTATTGGGGGTGGGATAAGGTCACTGAGATTTCAGGGACCTCATTTTCTTTTCTTTTCTTTCTTTTCTTTTCTTTTTTTCTTCTTTCTTTCTTTCTTTCACCAGAAATTGAAATCATGACTTCGCACTTGCCAGGCAGGTGTTGTGCCACTGAGCTATATCTCCGGCACGGGACCACATTTTCTACTTAATTTCATCACAGTTTCACAGGTTCTGTGAAGTTCCTAACAGCAGCTTTTAACTCTTGTTTCCCATATTTATGCTTTAGGTGGGACCATCCTCAATATCTCTGGAGTAGGGTTCAGCAGTGACCCCGCTTTGGTTTGGGTCCTCATGGGCAATCGGTCCTGTGACATTGTGGACTTAACCGATATACACATCTTCTGCGAGACCCCATCGGCTCCCCTGTTGTCCGGGGCAGATTCTCTCCCTGTCCCCGTGGAGGTCTGGGCTGGCAACGTGTCTTTCGTCCATGGACCTGCACCAAGCTTGGTGGGGAAGGGCTTTACTTTCACTTATGAATCAGCAGCAACCCCGGTGGTCACTGCCATGTGGGAAGAAATCACCAATAGCAGCCTGAAGTTTTATCTGGAAGGAAATCACCTCTCTGACTCAGTCGTCCTTCTGGGGAGCTTGAAATGTGACCTTGAGACCCAGTCCTTGTGGGGCAACATGAGCCTGTCTGGGTGTGCCTTTCCTCTTCACGGTCTGGAGGCAGGCATCTATACTATCCAAGTCCGACACAAGCACCTGGGGCTCGCTGATATGTCTGCAGTGCCGCAGCACTTTGTAGTGATGCCTCAGATGGCCCCCATCTTTCCAATGCCCAGGCTGGCATGTAGCGGGACAGTCTTCACCATGAGGAGGGTGACCCTCAACTCTAGAAGGTCTGCTAAGGTTGACCTTTTAGGTCCTTTTAATCATGTGATACTGAGTTTGGGAGATGACGTAGTTGTCTGCCAGGTCAGTCTGGTGGGTGAGCATGTGGCTGGAGCTTCCCTCACTCTGAATGTCACAGTCCTGGTGGATGGATCGGCCAGCAAATGTCAGGGGGCCTGCACTGTCTTCATGCAGGGAGAGACAACTTCTGTCATGGACATCTTGACTGCAGACACCAATGGGTCCCTGATCACCATTCTAATGATGGATCAGAGGTTGGACAATGCTGCTGCTGAGCCAGTAGTGTCTGTGGATAACCAACTTCCTTGTGACTGGACTTCCTTCAACGCGAGCTATGTGGTATGCCACATCAGCAGCTTGACTCCAGGACCCCACTACTTGTCTTCTGTCCACACAAGTAATGGCTGTGTTTGTTGGGGTGATGCTTCCAAGTACTTCTCCATCGTGCCTCAAGTGTTTCATTATTACCCTAGGAATTTCAGCAGGCATGGTGGGAGCCTCTTGGCCATAGAGGGTACGGCCCTGACAGGGCAGAACACCACCTCAGTCTACGTGGGCCAGCAGGCCTGTCTGACTGTGAACATCAGCTCTGAGCTCATCCAGTGCATTGTTCCTGCAGGAAATGGCTCTGTTGCTCTGGAAATAGAGGTGGATGGAACTTTGTACCGCATAGGAGTCATTGATTATAGTGATGCCTTCACCCCGGAATTGATCTCTGTTTCTCACATTGGTGACGTCCTGACCTTCGCCGTGGCCCGCATCTCAGGAGCTGCCAATGTGGACGTTTTTATCGGGACGTTCTCCTGTGCAGGTGTTTCTGGAAACAGCACAGTTATCCGGTGCATGGCCCCTTTTCTTCCTGCTGGGGAATACCATGTCCGAGGCTATGACCATTCCAGAGGCTGGGCCTCATCTGCTCTTGTGTACACAGTGAGAGTTACTGTTACAGCAGTGACTGAGAATTTCGGTGAGTCAGACAAACAAAACAGCACTTTATGGGAGGGGGCTAATAGCTACTCTCATTTCTAGGAGATAGAAAACCCAACATCATTCCGTTAGACAGGAGGAAAGAGAAGTCCAGTTGGTCTGTTATAACCCCAGTTTCTTCCTGAAGTGTATCTTTTTTGTATTTTAAAGAGAAAAAAAATAACAAAATAACAATGAAGATGAAAACAAAACAACACAAAACCAAATTTATAACACTCTAAAAGTTATCAGCTTTCTTCATCAAGAAAATTGAGCATATTTTCTAAGTATTTTAATTTGGTGCATTATCCATCTTTAATTTGTATTTTAAATTATTTCTATAAGAGGCCATAATTTGATCACTAAAGTACATAAATATTTCACCTATTTTTAGACTTATATACCAATTGGCATTAGTTAATACTTACTATGATTAATTTTTTAGTAATATTTAACAGATGATTTCATATTCCACCAGTCATGAGCAAATGGTATAATACTGTTGTGCTGGTTGAACTGTTTTCAACTTTTAGATAGATAGAAATATCCCTGGCATTTTCTTCTCAAGATGGTTTAGATTTCTGTTCACTTAAAGCCTTACCACACTTGGAGTAGCTCAGATTTGATTGTAATTAGAGAGTATAAAGGAAATTACAGAAGCAGACTTTTAGACTGGTGAAGTATTTACCAAACCACTTATTAAAACACATTAGCCTGAATTGCGTGGACTGTAGTAGGTATTGGGATTGGCTCATCCTCAGCTGCCTTATTTGATAAAGGAGTTTGGGCTGGATGCTTAGCAAGTTCCCTGTTAAACTCCCTAAGATTCTATGACATTTACGGTGAAAGATCATCATGAGTTGCACCCGAAGCATGAAACATTATTCTGGACTTTGTCAGGCAGCTATGTAGGTATCTCCATCTCCCTCATAGGGTGAAAACATCAGAGAGAGATTGGAATTGTATCTCAGAGTGAACTGGAGGTATGGCTTATACACCTCAAATATGTAGTTATCACAATACTGTTAGTAATAGCAAAGGAGGAGAAATAAGGGAAATCTCAATCAGTAGAAAAACTATTAAAATACATTGTGATATAATCATGTCATGAGATTCCAAGTAGTTATCAAACTGAGCTGGACCTGTGAAGGTGTGCTGTTCTTTGAAGCAAAGAATAAAGTTGCAGGATAATATGTATGGGATGATCCTTTGTATCAAAAATATATATGCTTTGAAAATTCTGAAGGTGTCACAAGAGACTCTGTACCGTGATGTGACTGGGGAGTGACACAGGTCGTGGGCAGAATTTGATTTTCACTTCCTTTTATGTTCTTTTGTATAAAAAGTTTAAAATTTATCGATAATCTTTACTTCCCTATGTGAAACAGGTACATTAAAGATGTACTTTGACATAGTAGGTTGTTGAATAGGCTTGGGTCTGACTGCACCCTGGAGGCCCCAGCCTGAGTGGGGAGGACACCGAGGATTTCAGGGACCTGAGGCCAGGGATGTGGACTGTGCGGGGCATGAGGAGGATACGCAGCACGGAAACAGAGGTTTGAGTTTTGACTTAAGAGAGATTTGCCTCCAAGATCACAGCGCGCCGTTTTGTCTTTGAAGGCTGTCTGGGTGGAAGGCTGGTGCACGTGCTCGGAGCGGGGTTCTCCCCAGGGACCGTCTCAGCAGCCGTGTGTGGTTCTCCCTGCCGAGTCTTGGCAAATGCTACCGTGTCTGCTTTCAGCTGCTTGGTTCCTCCCCTGCCCGGTGAGTAAAAATATCTCATATATATTTTTAAAGCATATAAATATATATGTGGAATATTCTTGCTTTGTCTTTACTGCTATACTGACCAATACTTTTTCAATGTGTTCCTTGGAATAGAATTTCTCCATTCTTCATAAAAAAATGGTAGACTGTGGGGCTATCTATTAAAATGGTTCATAGCACCTTTTGTTTAAGGTTACAGGTCAATGTTACATGAACACTGAAAAATTTCTTACTTATGTTCTTGACCGACATCATATGATTATGGAAAAGTAATTCTGGTTTTGCAGTATTTGTTTCAGTGACAGCCGTAGGCATCAGGGAGGCAGAGAGCTCTTAGTCTTGCACTGAGGTGGGATTGCTGAAGACATCTGTTTTCTGGAGGTACCGGTAGAGAGGTAGAGACCACCAGTCTGGGCATCTTGGATTTTTATAATCAAGAGAGCCAAGATGCACATTATTCTCTTGTGCAGTGTCCAGGTAATTACCTGATCCCTTACTCAATAAAAAAATCATAAAAACTACCATGGTAAATATAGTACGGTACTGACAAAACAAAAACAAGTAACCCTAACAAAAAAAACAAAAACAACAACAAAACCACCAGGCCTAAGGATCAACAGATCAGAATAGAAGATCCTGAAACAAATTCAAACACACTCAGCCATCTTATCTTTGACAAAGAGACCAAACTCATTTACTGGAAGAAAGATAGCTTCTTTAACAAATGGTGCTGGGAAAAGTGTCTTTCTACATGCTGAAGACTAAATCTAGAACCATATTTCTGACCATGCACTAAACTAAAATTGATATGGATCAGAGATCTAAATATTAGTCCACTGGAGAGTAAACTAGATAAAATTCTTGAAGACATAGATGTAAGCAAAGACTTTATGAACAAAACCTTGACCACACAGCAAATGTTACCAAGAATCAACAACTGGGATCTCATCATATAAAAAGCTTTTGCACAACAAAATTAACCACCCACAGACAACCCACAGAATGGGAAAACAATTGTATTAGCCATTCCTCAGACAAATGACTACTATCTAGCATATATAAAGAACTAAAAAAGGTCAGACTCCCCAAATGTAAAGACCCAATTCAAAAATGTACATAGTGTGAATAGACACTTCCCAGATGAAAAGGTACAAACAGACAATAAATATGTGAAAAAATGTCCTGCATGATTGATCACCCATGAAATGCAAATTGAAACAACACTAAGATCCCACTTCACTCCAGAAAGAACGGCTATCATCAAGAAACCAACCAATAACAAACGGCTGTGGAGCTGTGGGGAGAAAAGAACCCTTCTCTCCTGTTGGTGGAAGCGTATATTGGTGCAATAACAATATGGAAACAATATGGAAACCGGTATTTATTTCTCATAAAACTGAAACTAGAGGTTCCATTTGACCCAGATATTTCCCTTCTTTGTATCTTCCCAAAAGTGCTAAAAGCATACTACAGTAAAATATGCACACCCATGTTTATAGCAGCAAAATTTATAATAGCTAAATCTTGGAAACAGCCTAAATGCACATCAGCAGATAAATGGATACGGAAAGTGCGTTTTTATGTACACTGAAGTGCTGTGGTGCCATAAAGAAGGTAAACTTGAGCCATTTTTAGGTAAGTGGATGTACCTGGAGACCATACTTTCCAGTGAAATACACTGGAAGCATATATTTACATATTGCATTGCTTCTCTTGTGAGAGAAAATGAAATCACAAATAAGGACCAAAATGGATGATAGATACTGGGAAGTAGGAAGGAAATGTTCAAATGGGAAGGGGAACGAGGGAGGGGGAGGGGCAGGGAAGGAAGGGAAAAGGGGAAAAAAGGGAAGAGAGGGAAAAACGGAAACAAAACTTCTGTAAATAAGGAAGGGAGGAAAGGTTGAAGGGAGAGGAAGGGAATGGGAAAAAAAGAAGAGTCAGGGTACGGTACATACAGGTACAAATTCCCTACAGCGCGTGTGATCACTATGTACATCAAATCGTACCAGTAAAATTAATTAAAAATAAAATCTGCACATGAAAACATCCAGATAGTTTCCTACATTAAGGTGCACGGCCATCCAGCAAGTCGTAGCGTGGACAGCCCTGTATTCACAGGTGGTGAGGTGAGGGTCGGAGGCCACAGCTTTGGGATTCCCGGCACACGGCAACTATTTATTTGAGCTCCAGGGTAAAAAAAAAACAAAGGGAAGAAATTAGCGTTATTGCCACAGGTTGTCGTACTTGAGAGATTCCAAATGTATCTGGGTTACTGTCTTGTTTGCCTGATCCTAGATCTTATACCTTTTGCTCTTAAAGCCATTTTTTTTTTATTTTAAAGATAAAAGGAGGGAAACATTAACAGACATACCACATTTTACAACATATCACAAGCACAGTACAGACAATACAGAGTTACAAACAAAGTGGTAGGGAATTAACAATGGTGGTTGTATTACATATTGATATCTTCAAAGTGGCTTCTCATGAAAACAGATATAGACATGCAATACTGGTCAACCAAAGACTCACTGACAGTTTCTTTCAGCATAGAAATAGAAGACAGAAGAACAACCATGTTAACTGTCATGTATATACATACATACAAACTTTCTCCTTCTTTCCCTTCTCTTTTCCCACATCCCAGTTGCCCTTTACTCTTCAGCGGTTTCCTATCATTTCACAGTGTCTATCATACCTCCGAGTTTAAATTAACTCTTTCAAGGTTTACACTAGTGAAGCAATGCGGTGCTTGCACTCTTAAAGCCATTTAGACACGTGCTTTCGGAGTGGTGTTTTGAGTTACATTTCTAATTCTTGGTCAGGAATGGAATTTAGGTTAGGTATTTGCAAACTGGTGAATAAAATCCTTTCATGTGAGCTTGCAAAATATTCTGCGTTAGTTAATATTATTATGATGGCAACTTACACTGCTTTGTCTGAGAGGGGAAGGAGGAAGGCGGAGAGAAGCTACAGTACCAGAAGTACCAAATAAAAACGAGTGAGATTTCAAGGCCAGGTAAATTGTGATATTTTGGAAGTTTTTAACTCCCAGGGAAAAAAGAATGAAATTATTATATTTAAAAAGATTTGAGCTGGGCATGATGGTGCACGCCTGTAATCCCAGCACCAGGGAGTCAGGAGGATAGTTGCAAGTTACAGACGAGCCTGGGCTACAAAGGGAGCTCAAGGCCAGCATGAATTGCATAGCCAGACCCTGTCTAAAAAAAAAGGCTTGAGTTCTAAAAGAGCTGAAAAACCCTTGATTTTTCATTTGGAAGTGTAACTCTCAGGATTACCACTAGGTGTCACTAAAGACCCATCAATTGTGAAAAAATCGCATTTAGACAAACGGATCATTCAACCTCTGTATTCCCCCTTTTCATGAAAAAGTCTGCAAAAGACTTTTAATCACATTGTCTAAAGGTGGACGGGCACTCGTGAGAGTCAACTCAGATTTTCTCGCTGAAGATCTAGCTGAGATGTGGAGATGGTGCCTGGCCTCTGACACCGGATGAAACATTTAGAGTGGACGATTGTCTGTTTCCCCTCTTGTTTTGCCTCCTCCTCCATCTCCTTGGAACTGGGTCTATAATTTTATGGACATCGAATGGTCAGAGGGGCTTTGTCTCATAAGTTACTCAAAACGACTAATGATTGTCTTTTCCAGGTAGGGCTGCGTGTAACCAGCTTCACTAAGGTCACCTTCCGAAGCTGTGGTCTCTGGAGAGGAAAATCATCTCAGCCCGCGAGGGCAGACCGTGCTCCCAGCGCGGCACCGTTAGAAACGCGGATTCTCGCGCTCACCTAATCAGAGACTTTCCGAATAAACATTCTTGCGTTTCTTTTCTGCTCCTTTTTAAAAATCCTACGTTCTTGCCTAGTTTGAAGCCCCAAAGTGGGTCGTGCTTTTGGGCAATCAACTTCTAGCCATAGCAAGGCAGCATCATAGCACGTGTGTGTGTATAACATGGTCCCAAAAGTTTTTTTAAAAAATTACACTGTCGTTTCCCTGGTTTACTATCTTCCTGTTACCTACTCTAATTCCAGCCTCTCTGTGTATTTCTAACGTGGTTGTGCACGGCGGGGCTGCTCTCGTATTTATGTGATCTATTTGTTTTTCTTCTGTGGTTTACTGTCTTGCTCTTTTCATTTGGCCTTTTGTTTATTTCTCTTAACTTCTTTGATTTACCAAGGTCACCTTGAATTCTGACCCTCGCTTTGAATTTTATTCTCTAGTTTGACTTTGCGTGATGGAGCAATGTTTCACATTCTGGGTTAGAGATCGTGTCTTTGAACCCAAACTTTCCCAGTTTAGCTCTGATGTGTTTCCTTTTCGTGAATGGGGGAGGAGGAGTCAACTACAGCTAGAGCTCAAACAAGTTCTTTTGCTACTTTTGGGGGCCTTTACTTTCCCCTCAAATTATACTTTTAACCAAAGAAGAATTTTACTTTTTCATATGATGAGTTGCTAAAACATCCTGTTAGATGAAACTAATACTTTGCATTTGTTTAAAATGAGCAAGATCTTTGATCTTTGGGTTTCTTGCATTTATACCTTGAATTATACCAAATGACTTTTTCACGGAAACTTTAACTTTTCCACGAGGCATGAGACGCTAAAGCGATTACCGTCACAGAGCTATTTAGTGGCAGAACTTTGAGTAAAACCCATGGATTTTGATCCTCAGCCCTGGGTGCTTTTCATAATCCACCTTGTCAATTTGCATCCCCTTAATCACCTATAATAAATTCATTATTTTATAGGTGTTGAGCCTGTTTTTATTTGCCTTGGGGCTTACTAACCGGCGAGTTCTCAGGTTTTGTCTACCCACAGGGGAACCCTACTGTCAGTCATTTTTCTTGTTATTGTTCATTCAAAACGCAAGCGCAGAGATCTTACTAGGTGTCAGGTGCTTTCGAAAGGAGCGGTGCTGGTAAAGAGGTTTGGGTGTGACTGTGGAACTACAGACCCCCCCTCATGCTTCCCTAGTATGGCCTCGGCTGCTGGCACAAGGACAAGGTAGACCAGCTTGAACGGAGGGCCCCAGTCTGTGACATTTGTTGCATACCTGTGTGGGCTAGCTAGCTGCAGAGGTAGCAGGATACAGAGGTTTTCTTGTTTTGGGCTTTTCTTTCAGACAGACTTGCTTGTAAATCATCTGCCAAGATCTGTTCATCTTCCAGTTAAAGACTATTGTCATTTTGCCTCATTGATGCTTTTGACTTGTGTCCTATGACTCAGAGTAAAATGTTTTGAGGTTTAAAAAGATTTGAGTACTTGCTTTTCTTTTCTATGTTAATGGTCATGATTATATGACAATTTAAGAATTTCTCTGAGTCGGGATATCCCAGGAACAGTGAAAAGTCTAGTCACAAACTTGGAAAAGGTAACAGTAGCCAGTCAGAATGGAGGCACACACCTGTCATACCAGCCATCGAAGGGTGAGGTAGGAGGACTGTCATGAGACGGAGGTCAGGCTGGGCTACATAGTGAGTTCAGAGCCAGCCTACACTACGCAAGGAGACCCTGTTTCAAAAGAGAGAGGGAAGGAGAGAGGGAGGGCAAAAGAGGGAGGGAGAGAGACATAGAGAGGAAGAAGAAGAAAGAAGAAGAAGGAGGAGGAGGAGAAGGAGAAGAAGGAGGAGCAGAAGGAGAAGAAGGAGAAAAAAGAAAAGAAAAAAGAAAAGAAAAGAAAAGGTAATAGTAGCTATCACTTCCAGAGAATGGATGCCTGGAATATATGAACCAATAAGAAAAGACACACAGCCCAATAAAAATGTCAGAAGACAGAATCATAATTTGAAGGAGAAAAATATGAATTACTATCACACATAAAATATTTCTCAACCTAAAAATTCATGATGAAAATGGAAATTAAGGCCGTGGTGAGATATTATTCTATGTATGCATGGATGGGTGAAAATTGTCAACAATTGCAAGTGCTGAAAATCTTGAGTGGAATAACGGCAACTGATAAACACAGGGGTGTACAAAGGCACATCCACTCTGGCAAACAGCGGGGCACTATCGTGTAAAGCTGACCTTGCATCTGCCATTTGCAAACAAGCTATTTCTTTTTTTTTCCTAGTACATGTTTGCAGTACGTAATGGTTATATTCCTCACGTGGAGCTGGTACCTGCACACAGCCTACACTGGTTCTCCTTTATCTCCTCTCTCCTCCCTGCCGCTCCATTCAATCCCATTTGTTGATTCTGGATGTTATTTCTTGTGCAACTGAGGTTGTGTTGAGGAAGTCCTTGCCTATGCCTACGTGTTGAAGAGATGAAAGCAAGCCAGTTCCTTTCCAGGCCATTTTAACTCTAGAGAAAAATTTGTATGTTTTTATAGTAGCAAATCTTTGGAAATACTCAAAATTCCATTGGTAAGAGCATAAATGCATCGTAATACATCCACGCCGTGCAGTACTGAGCACCGCAAGGATGTGTTCCCCTCAGTCACAAGCAGCCGTCGGGTCAGTCCTAGAAATACAGTGCTGAATGGAAAAAGCAGATCCATGAGTTTGCTGGTATAGAGTATATTTTATAAAAGCCAAAAGAAAAACTCGGGGCTGGGGATTTAGCTCAGCGGCACAGTGCCTGCCTGGCAAGTGCGAGGTCGTGAGTTCGATTCCCGGTACCAGAAAAAAACAAAAACAAAACAAAACTCAATACTGTCTTGTTTAGAGTATAAACCTGCTCTATGAAGCGCTTTTAAAAATGCCAAGTGGTTATTTCTGAAGGGAAGGCAGAGAATGAACCCTGGGCACAGGAAGTACACATAGAAATGAGTTTTTTTGTAGGAAAATGGGTGCAACTGGAGACCATAATTTTTTTTTTTCCGGTACCAGGAATCGAACTCAGGACCTCGCGCTTGCCAGGCAGGCGCTGTGCTGCTGAGCTAAATCCCCAGCCACGAGACCAAAATTTTAAGTGAAATAAAAAGATGTACAAGCTTAAGTATTGTGTGGTTTCCCATCTATGAAAGTCCCAAGCCATAAACGAAAAGCCACATGAAGGACAGATAATAGGAACTCGGGGGACTGGTCCTTTGCGCATGGATAGGGGGCCCGGAGCTGGCGGGAGGGGAGGGGAGAGGCGGGCAAGGAGCCGCGGGAAGAGTGGAGATGCGCCGTCCAAGGGCCAACCTCTCCAGAGTGCGCTGATCCTTGGGCGCCGGCAACATTATCGATGGAGATGGACGTTGGAAGAGTGTGCGCGACTGTCTACCCTCAGGCTGGCTGGCATATTCTCGCCAGTGCTGTTTATGATCATGATTCATATTTTACGAAATTTGATGTATATTTCTCTGACTGTATAATTGTATATATTTATTTATTTATGTATTTATTTATTTTGGTTTTTCTCCGGTACCGGGAACCGAACTCACGACCTTGCGCTTGCCAGGCAGGTGCTTTGCCTCTGAGCTAAATCCCCAGCCCCCAATGGTGTATATTTAAAAAGTAAACTGAATACTTTATTTTCCTCTTGCTTTAGGGAGGTAGCATATGAACCAGCATGCGCCTCCCGTGCTGGGTGTGGGTTCACTGAGCTAACGGTGACCGCTTTCCACAGTGTCCTTGGCTTTCCTCTGCGATGTGAAGCCGGAAGAGGACAGGTGTGAAGCCGCCGTCCACACCTACGTGCGGTGTGAGCTCACCATCGCTGTGGGAACGCAGAGGCTGGCTGAGTCGTGGCCTTACCTTTACATCTGTGAAGAGAGTTCCCGGTGTGTCTCTTCGCCAGATCAGTGGACAGAGCCAGACTTTCCATCCTTTTCAGGCCTCTTCCTCAGGTAACTCCGTCCTCTGCTCTTGTCCCTGACCTTCCGCACCAAGCCCACAGCCAGCGGCCCGCAAAGCGCAGCTGGGTGGATGCGGAGGGGAGGCGGGGCCACGACGGTTCCGAGGGGCCTTCCCTCCCGGGCTCCAGTTCGCCTGCATATCAAAGCATCTCCTGTCTTTTTCAAGTGTTCAACAGAACATCTGAAAAATCTGCCCAGTAAACAGCTCACTTTGTTCTTGCTTAGATTTTAATATTTATCTTCTGATCCAAAGCAACATCTGGTGAATGCCAATGGGGAAGAAGATTAGACATTATGAAAAACAGAAGGCTTTTTTCCTTTTCTTCCAAACAGATTCACAAGTATGAAAAAAAAAGTCAGAGGAATCCAGCAGATTGCACAATGCTTATTCAAAGGAGGGGGCATTGCGCAGCCGAATTACTGTAATCTGGGATTTAGAAGCCATAAGCTCACGAGGATTTTTTAAAGTTAAAAAATCTGAAAAATAAATACCACAACTTCCCAAGCTAAACTACTTCTCTAAATGAAATTTTTTAAAGTGTGATTGTGTTGCTGGCTCTGGATGGCCTTAATTTTGTCCAGTAATTCTTTTCCTGTGCAGGTGGTATTGCTAGGCAGAACATTGCCCTTTGTTTCTTATCTAGATAGAGTGATTATTTACTAAAGACCTAGTTTCCTCTTAAAATGTGAAAACACACAGTGCCAATTCCAATGGGAGAGAGACAACCAATTCTTTTATGGAGGTGTGATTCCTTGGTGTCCCGAGACATTCGGTTGTAAAAGGAACTGGAGCCTGGAGTTTGGTGTTTAGACAGAGGAAAAGACAAACCTCCTTGACAAGTTGCTGTCCAGGAGAGTTTCAGGAACTTTGCTTGGGTGGTGTCGGAAATGGGCCACTAGGGCTGTACTCAGGTGAGACTGGATCTCAGAACTCATTATGCTGGAGTTGGAGAAGGTGTCAGCAGTTCCTGCTCCACTGAATCTAAGACTATCTGAATCGCCAGAGCTATTCCCTTGGATTCTCCCATGCCCTTCTGCGTTGTCTGAGCCACTAGGAAGTGGCTCAGGCAACTGAACCTTAGACCCCGTTAAAAGTTACACCCTTCTCTATCAGTGTCCTTTAAAAAGGCCCACTCAGTGTTCTTGCTATTGCAATAGGCAAAAGCAGGTGTGTTTGCTTCAGTAAAAATTAAGTGCTGTATGATTTGAACAAAGTTTATGCTTAGTGTTGAGGAGGGTGGGAAGACCCGCACTGTGCTTTGTGGTTGGTGGGAAGGCAAGTCAGTATGGTCTTCAGAGGACGACTTCGCAACACACTAATAAAAACCTTAGAATTCTCCATATCCCGTGACCCAGCAATTTCACTTCTGTGATTTTCATAAAGCAGATAGGAGTGTGTAGTATTTACAAACTACCGTGCTCTGTGAAGTCTTCAGTATACAATCTACTTAAAATAAATGTAAGTATAAAAGAAGGCATCCACATGGTATAACACTAAGAAACCTTTAGAAATCATATTTAACCAAGCAGGAAATGAAAATCAAGGTTCACAAAATAGTATATTCATTTAATCTAACTGTTATACTTAGCATATGCATTTGTGCTCTCAGGGATGATCAGAAAACATGGGACGGGTGTATTCTATAAGGCTGAGAGTGCCTGCCTCCAGGTGACCGAAGTAGTGATCATATTTTCTTCATTGAGTTTTTATGTATTTCTCTATGTGCTGATTTAGTAAGGAGAAAACACAGTATATATCCTACATGGGTCATGCACCAAGTAGCTTGCTTGGTTTTTCTTATAATTATGCTTGTGAACCCAGAGGACTAAGATCTTTTCACGGAATCTACTTCCATTAAATGCTTTGTCACCCTGCCAGCAGTAGCACCATGGCTTTGTGTCATTTGCCAAAGGCAAACACATATCTGGGGTGTAAGTGAGCCTGGTCCATCACCCACCCATCCCAGCATCTTTTGTCCCTCTGCTGTTGGGTTCCCAGGGTGCTGTAGATGTTGTGCCAGGCACTGGTGACCAAACTGCCCTAGCAGCAGAGGAGAAAGGCAATGAACAGGTGGATATCATGTCATTTTAAGTGCTGTAAAATGATAGAAAATAATAGGCTATTTTAGGTGGCATGCTCAGAGTAACCTCTCTTATCAGGCATGAAAGGAACAGTTAATGTTTAATTGTTTGGTCAATCTTACAGGCCTATATTTGTTTATCTGAGTAACCAATTTAAAGATAACAACATGTAATACAACAACCATTGTTAATTTCCCATCACCCTGTCAGAAATTCTGTATTGCTTTTATTGTTTTTGTGTTGTTTTGTTTATGTCTGTGTGTTTGTTAATACATTTTCATTCTTTTATCTTTAAAATAAAAAAATTCAATTAGAAACATAAAAAAAGATGGTGATTGTTTCAGTTAAATAAAATTATTCTAGTAAAGGGCACATGGCCATTAATGCCCCTCGAAATACCCCCGCCCTCTCCTCAAACACACAGACCCCGGGTTCTCGCTGCTTTCTGAAGCAGTTCTGGAAGTTCTCCCTTCAAAAGTGTATTCCTTGTGATGTCGTGGCTAATTTGATGTCTTGAACCAATTCAAAGTGTTTAACTTTCGTGGTCCTTTTGACTTTGGGGAAGATCCAAAGGCTACTCAGTCCCTGTGTATGTGCATGTGCGAATAAGATAGATGAGGACATACTATAATGACTTTACATGACAGAAATTGCAACAAATGGTTGTTCAGTGGAGGTGATCACAAAATATGGTGAGGGCTGGGGATATAGCTCAGTGGCACAGGCACTTGTCTGGCAAGCACAAGGTCCTGAGTTCGATTCCTGATACCTCCCTCAAAAAAAACCCACCAAAATATGGTGAAAGTTTAAATTAGAAGCTTCTTACAGTAAAAGACACATTGTTGTTAATCACCCTCAAAATTCTCCCCTTGCTTCAAACACACACATCATTCTTGGCAAGTGTGTCTTTTACTATAATAAAGTTTTACAAAAACCAAATGAACATTCACCATATTTTTGATCATCCCTTGTGTGTTGAGGCAAGACCAGAAGAAGGCAGGCAGGCAGCAAGGGACCTCCAGGTTTTATGAAATGTGCAAAGACCAGTAGGGCGTGAGAAGCAGAAGAAGGAAGGAGGGCGGCCCTAGCTAGGGGAGGGAAGGGAACGCTCTCAGGAGGTACAGTATATAAGGTCTCGCAAGCCAAAGGGTGTGGGTTCTCTTCTGTGTGAAGATGCAGTTTCCTTCCAAAGCCACGCAGTCAGACCAGGGCTGTGCTGGGACCGGAAGCTCAGGCTTCTGACTTGATGTGCCACCAGCACCTGTGATGAGAGCTTTCACTGGGCTGTGTGGTCAGTGAGATCAGGGCCTTGGGAAGCAAGATCAGGACAAGCAGGGGAGGTGGAATTCCCACGTGTGATAGTGCCGGTTCCTCAGAGCGTGTAGAGAAGGCTGCTTGCTTACTTCAGGATCTGACGAGACCAGCTGGAAGAGCGATAGGTTGGGAGGCAGGAAGGTTCTAGGACTATCTTGGCCACTATTTGAATCAAAACATTTTGATTGGATTCTCTTAAATATTTGTGTATATGTATGTGTATGCATATGCATCTACCCTTATCATGTACAGATTATACATATATTGGTATCTATAATTTTATTTAAATCTGGTCAACCATATTTCTTAACCTATAAAATTACTGTGAAATAAAAGGATATTAGCTAATTATTGAGAAATTTCGATATTTTGTAAATGTTAGTCACTTTTTGATATCCTGATTTCTCAGCTAATTTTGATTAGGGGTTTTTAAAGAAGAACTCTCTAGCAGCTTAATCAGGGAGAAGCTGAAAAAAAGTATCAGCTAACAGAAAGGGTTTAACAGACAGCGTGTTTCTGACGAGTAACACGCTTCACTCCCACATTTGCCAGTGGAGCCCAGGGACAGCGGGAGCGGCGGGAAACATTCTGGGAATTAACTAAAAAAAGAAAAAGGGGTAAGCTTGGTACGAACCCTGACAAAATTCTAGGAAGAATTATTAACCAGGTGGTTTGTGAGCACAGCCGTTTTGGGAAGCTGTTCATGGAGAGAGTGATGGCGTGGTGAGCCAACTTTGTTTTTTATTTTTGGGCAAGTTTGTAAGTGATTTACGATGTGACAATGAAGGGAGATTGCCCCAAATTGTTCTAACAACCTCTGCACGCCCAGTAGCAACAGAAAAGTTCTCGATGTAAAGCACGAAGTTGCTTAACAATACCTTAGATTACTCTGGAGTCAGATGTTTTAAAAGTCTGTTTTGGCTTTTCATACTACTCCACCATATTTTCATGTTTGCACTTTAACTTAGAAGCTATTTTACTTTGTTTTGCCTTTCGGAATCTGGTGTGACTGACGCTGCAGGAGAGAATTCAGTATTTATCGGGAGGTTTTCTCTACAGCAGGGATCACAGCTCAGCTCCACGGATGTAGCTGAATCAGGGTCCTGGTTTAAAGTGTATTTGAGCAATGGCTCTACTTCAATGAGATGAAATAGAACGGCAGTGAATGTTTCTTCCCATTTTTACATTTACAAAATATTGCTACATTTTAGCAATAGTAGCACCACCCCAATCACTTCTAAAAACTGCGGTAAAAGTGTACGATCGATCTTGTATGTCTATATTCGTTTACTTGAGTATCCAAACTAAAGATATCAATGTGTAGTACAGCAACCGTTGTTGATTTCCTGTCACCTTGTGTGAGATTCTGTATTGCTTGTATTGTTTTTGAGTTATTTTCTAAGTGTATGTGTGTTTGTTAATATGTTTTTGTTTTTTTGTCTTTAAAATAAAAAAAAAAAACACTGCAGTAAAAGGTGCCTTTATCAGACGCTCATAGTGTACTGGGTTCTGTGCTAACCTGTTCTTTTTTTTTTTTTTTTTTTTTGCAGTATTAGAGACTGAGCCTAGGGCCTTCACACTAAGCTACATCCCTAGCCCCTTTTGATTTGGAGACAGGGCCTCACCAAGTCCCTAAGTTGCTCAGGCTGGGCTCTAACTTTTTGTCCCTTTGCCCCAACCACCTGAAGTGTTTGTGACACAGGTGTGTGCCCCCACACCTGCTGCTAGTATTTACTGTTCTTCATTTCCCTTTGCTCCATACCTCTCTAAAATAAGTACTCGGTTATACGGAACTCTGGTTTACAAACGTGGAAACCAAAAAGTAATATTTTCAGTGTCACACGGATGGTAGGGACCAGTGCTAGGATTCAAATAAAACCGATCTGCTTCCAAACCTACCCTTTGCATGCCAGTACTGCTCACAAGATCGGCTGAACAAATACGGCATGGTGAGATCTTCGAGCACTTGTGACTCTGAGACTTTTAGTTCACTGCTGGCTTCAAATAAGGATGAGGGATACAAAATGATCCTAATGTTAGGGGCCGTGGGTTGGAGGGCTCACATAGAGGGAGACCAGAGCCCTAGTGGTCAGCCTGAGTTTTGCTCAGTTTCGGGTGGCAGGAGGTTAAAGTATTGGCCCCCTTTGTAGGTTTGGAGGACAGTGGGTGTGGAAGTCATGCCTTAGGTGGATACAGAGCTGAGGACATTTTAAGAAGAAGAAGAAGAGAAGATTAAGTGGTGAGACATGATAGTCACCCTGCTCATTATTTTTAGCATGTGGTGGGAGATACCATTTCAACTTTGATCTGAAAAAAGATGCTACAGTTCGACATGATTTATAGTTTCTTAATGGATGACCTTTTGCCCTTTCTTCCACCCTTCCTGCTCTGCCTGTGGATGTACGCTCCTCAATCCTGATGTTCCCTTAGGAACCAGTATTTGCTTCTGGTCTTGGTGCTGCATAATTTTGTATCTGACTACATGCAAATCCCCTGGTCTTTTTGGGTTGCATATTATAGACCGTTCCCTAATTCACAGGTCGAAATGAGATCTTCTGTAACTGATGGAAAGTATAAAACATCCTGCAGTATTATTGCTAATAATATTTTAGTTAGTTGCAACATTGCCTAAAGCTGGGATTACTCTTGAGTAAATATCACACCTGTTGGGGATGGTTCTCTTCGCTATCCATGCACGTTCCCCTCCAGACTGCATATTTTTGGACCTTCTGTGATGTGCCATTGCTGTTTTTCATTTTAAATCTAGGCTGGCTTCTGCTCTTAAAGCAAAAGGACTTTTAAAGTGAGTGGCTGGTAGTATAACTGGCACATATATCGAATCTCCTTAGTCTGGGCTGTTAAGTAAGTTTAATTAATTTACTAAGTTAATGTTCCACTGCTAGCAACAGAGCCTCATTGCCATCAGCTGGGGAGAGGGAATTGAAAGCCTAAATGAGCTCATTTTTTCACAGTTGGAATTAGGGACCAGTTAGCCAGTTGTGTGGATTTTCCAATTTCTCCCTCTGCCCCGGGGGGATTCAGGCAATTCACTCCCCCAACACTAAGTGTGAGTAAAATCAGGAGGACGGAAGGAGACAAGAAAAAGAACAAAATAAAAACTCTCCCCAGCCTCAGCTTCCATCTTTGGAACTGGGAGTGTTGTCTGTTCCTTGCTTGTTAAGTTGGGCTTATGGAACCTTTCGCTAAGGTTCCTAATAGATTTGGAAAATAGGAAGGCCTCAGTGGAAGATATTCACTATGTACATTTTCATTGCAGGGTGAACAGATAAAGGAAAAACAAATAAACAATAAAAGAATGGAAACAAAATTACAGAAATTTGCAAAATTTGACAAATGGTGGTCTGTAGTTGCCACAAGCTAATGGCTCGCAATGATTAATAAGAGTAAAAATAATTGCATTTCATTAAGATTGATGACACCCCATTTAACCTCCCCTCTCATTTCAGCCCTAAAGTGGAAGGAGATGAAGTTCTCATCTATAATAGCTCCTGTACCATTGCCATGGAAACTGAGGCAGAGATGGAGTGTGAGACGCCTAATCAGCCAATTACCACCAAGATTACTGAGATACGGAAAAGCTGGGGCCAGAACACTCAGGTATAATCAAATCTTTTTTACAGACTGATTCAAACAGCTCAAATTAAATTTGTAATATTGTGTACATTAAAAAAACAATTTAGTCCAAATGGCAGCGATATATAATATTAAATGCTCTCAAACTTTGAGGAGCCGGCCTAATGCACAACATCTAAATTCATGGTTAACTATGGTTAATCATATATTTCCTCAAAAATAAATGAATGCTGCCTGGGCTCTTTTAAAGCAAATTCTGAGCAGATAATGTCCTCAGCGTTTTGTCCTGTTTTCTGGATGTGTGTTTGCAAGGAGCTTTCTGTGGCTTTTTCCTTCATAAAATAAATGGCCCACAATTTAACCGGGCCTTTCTGGAGGACTTCCAAGTCACTGGGCCACCCTCAGCATGGCGGGGCAGTGATGCCGCTGGCTTGTCCAGTTCTCCTGTTCCCTGGGGGAGCAGAGTTCAAGCCTGAGAAACGACATCAGGGATGGACAGCGGTGCCTCTTTACCTCAGTTCATCTGTCTTGAAATCGTCCCCCTGACTCCCCGTAAGGGGCTTTTCTAGGATGTGTCCTCAAGTGCCTGATCTGAGGTTCCGCAGCCTCCCTGGTGAATTTGTGAAGACTGAATTCAGAGGCTAAGAGCTCTTTGGAAATGTATCAGATAATCTTTTAAACTCCCCAGGCTTTGTCTGTACACAGACAAAAAATGATATTTATTGAGCATCTGCTCCCCTAGGTGCCTTTGTCTTTATGAAAGCAATTCTTAGATTTTGCCCCCTTTGTCTTTTATCTGGAACGAACGTTTATTAAGTGCCTATTATATGCCATACACTAGTCCAGACTCTCATATGTGCTATGTCGATCGTGCCATCCTAATTCAAAACCTGGGTTTGTCCTCTTTTATTTTGTATAACTTTTGCACTGATGTTATCAATGCATGTGACTACAAAGATAGACTTTCCCTTGTCCTCTCTAAACTGTTTCCTGACTACCTTCCGGCCCGGCTGGGTCCCTTTTCCTCCCATGACTGCCCAGCTTTTCATCCCTTTGTCCCTCTTGCTTTCCCTTTGAGCGACTGCCCGGCGCTGTTGCATCCTGCTTCCTGGCGTCCCCACCTCCAAATGCTGTTTCCCTGCAATTAGATGCTGCAGTTCATTCTGCATTTCCAGAACCGCTGTCCCCAAATCCCAGGCCCCATTTCAGTCTGGGTTTCTTTCTCAGCAGTCGCTCTGAGTTCTTTGTAGCGAGGCAGGAATGCTGTGGGACACAGAGCAGTTGTTAAGCCTCTCTGGACCTCAGTTGGTGTCTGGGAGAATAATGGCCTAGTCTTGTTGGGATGGTCATGTGAGCAAGTGCTGGTGAAAGGGAAGGAGAGGCAGGTGAGCAAAATGGTGAAGTGTGTGAGCTTTGGAGATAGATTACCCAGGTCTGAATATGTCCCTAGCTACCTGGAAGGACTTCAGGCAAATTATGTAACCCTCTGTGCCTCAGTTTTCTTTTCTTTTTTTTTTTTGAGACGGGGTCTCACTATATAGTGCAGTGTGGCCTCAACTCACTTATGTAGCCCAGGCAGGCCTTGAACTTACAGGAATCCCCCTGCCTCAGCCTCCCGAGGGCTAGGATTGCCGGCATGCACCACGACACCTGGCTCAGTTTTCTTATCTATAAAATGGGGACAATTTTAGTTGACACCTGATAGAATTGTGAGTCTTATAACATATGAGCCACTGAAACTGATCTTACACATATTGAATGTCCAGTGTTGTCATTATTGGCAATGCTAGTTTACTAGTAGTCATGTAACAAGTGATGTAGAATTATTTCTGTGTAATGCTTGTTGCTTTAATGAGATTATTTCACTTCTTAGATTTCATTTGATTTTTCATCATCTCAGAACTGAGATTTTTTGGAGGTTAAATGCCTCATTCATTTATAAATATTTATATAACACACAGTTATTTAGTTCCAAAGAAAATAATATGGAAAAAGGCTTCTATCATTAAGTGAGGCCATATCCAGAATAGATAAGGTTCAAAACAGTATATACCTAAAATCAGTTCATCACAGTTAGAGGGAGTATTGCCACCATCTTGAGCAATTAACTCATTTCAGAGATGAATTAACTAAGATTCTTCCAGAAAGGGGTGACCTGGTAAAGGTCACATAGCTTGTTATTTAACACCAAAAGCCAAGCAACTTTAAATAGTTGTGGGAGAAGTAAGCCATTTAATCTTTAGAAAGCAGGTAGCATGTCTGTCAAAACACACTAGGCTCATACCAGTGTGTAAGAAACGCCAGTCCTGAAGCATTGAGGGGGGAGAAGGACTACAGCTGTAGCTTCTAGATGTGATAATGTTTTAGTCAAGTGTGATAATGTCATAGTTCAAAACAGTCTACTGGGAGCAGGAGGGTGAATCAAGTGAGCCCGGAGGACACAGGGAGCCGTATCAGGGATTTGCAGCAAACCACTAGGATGCAACACCTGCATTAATCCTCTCAGGGTCATAAAGAGTGAAAGGAAGGTCTTGGGCACAGTTCCTATCACACTGACCAAGTCAGAATGGTGGGAGTTAGGGAAAACAGCAGCTAAGTCAACCCACAAACCCCCAGATTCTAGATATTGGGAAATTATTGGTTCTAGATGCCCCTCTCAGGTAGGGTGACTTGGTTTGCTTCAGGAATTAGATATAATAAAGCCTATTAGTAGATAATTTATAATTAAATGACCATATAATTGATTGAGGACCCAAACTAGGACCCTTTTGAGAGGATAAGATCCACAGTTAAAAATTACGTTTGGATGATGTCACGCTTGCTGGGATGTGTGTATACTCTATTTGGGTTTGTGAAGAACTTGTCAACATACGTGATGCAGGGTTATCGTGTTTGGATGTTTAACTTTCTTACTTGGCCTGGGAATAACATGGCACCTTTGCTAGGATGAATGGATCCCTTATTTGGGTTCAGGTCTGGGAAAGATTTGTACTGATAGGTGCTTAATCAGGTATAGAACCCAGGGCCCTCTTCCAAGTTCAAGAATTTTCCGTATGAGAACCTTAGTACACTGATTCCATAGAATAGATTTAGCAATAAAAGTTTTCCAAAGTCAAATAGTTCATAAAAGCTGGGTTTAAAACATTACACACACACACACACACACACACACACACACACACACACACCTCATTATGTATATACCTTGGAACACCATGATGGATGCAGAGAAGGAAGGAGCAGCAGTAGAGAGGATAAGGAACTATTTTTCCTACAAAGGATATTTGAGAGCATTCAATATATGAGTGTATAATGTGAATTTCTGTGGAGAGCTATGGTATTACCCAAACTTCTTGTCTGTGGAACTACTTAATCTCAGAGTTTCTTGTGGGTCCAGCAACTGTTCCCGGGCACTCACTTGGGAGCTGTTGCCCGAACCACACCTTTTCCCCAGTCACAGAGTGCAGGCTCTGCCCTGTATTTCAGGTGGGTCCATCAGCTGAGCTCCAGAATGGCACTTGTACGGCGCTATGAAGACCAGGTGAGGTTAAGGTGTTTAAGGGATCAGAGGAAAGGCATTTCTGGTATAGAAACCAACATGTCCACAGCACCGAGGCCAGATTTCCCAGGAAAAGTGCAAGGGGCACGGTGCGTGCGTGGGATGCCAGTGAGTTGCAGGTGTGCTAGAGTCAGACCAAAACTGAAGGTTAAGTGTTTGGTCCGCAGGTGACAAATAACCCCGAAGGAGCCACGGCGTGATCAGAGGGGTGCTTTCATCACACTAGTCCGGTAGTGGGTATGGGGTGGTTTGACTGGTAAATCCAGAGGGAGCTGAAGCTTCTCATCCGAATGAGCAGTAAGTGAAATAGGCAAATAGCAGGGGGAATGGAGAGATGGAACACATTTACAGTCAAGACTCAATCACGGACACATATAACTAACACATTTGAATATAACTCCACATATATCTATTTGCACAGAAAGATGTTTTTATGTGATTTATGTTGTTTTTCTAACTTGTACTTAAAATATGTGCACAGGTGTTCCTCCTTTAACAACCTATCTGTTTAATGACTGCTCAGACTTAGGACCGAGGTGTGTGTTCAGGGTTACGCCCCGCAGTCTGGACTTACGACAGGGATGTGAGTGGCCGTGTAGCCTTACAGTGCAGTACTGCCATTTTGCTGATTGTACTGTTCAGCACTGTAGTGCTGTGCTGTCATACACTACAGTACTACATGTAAGGGTTACGTAAATAAAAGCAAAGTCATCACGCTGGAGTTCTCTTTTGATTATTTCTTTGTTCTGAATATTGTAATGCACATGCTGAATACATTGCCTCCTTTAAGGACTGTTATGGTTGATACATTGTGTCAACTTGGGGAGTCTCGAGGTTTGGCTAAGTGACTCAGCAGGAAGCCAGGGTGCTTCCTTTGTAGACATCCTGAGCCTGTGGAAGAGGAGGGCAAAGATTATGTGAGAGCTACACGCCCCTTAGGCGGGGGTAGCCTGTTTACAATGTAAGGGAGGGAAAGAAGCTGCTTGCCGCCATTCCTCCCTTTTGCTCTGGCTGTTTGCTGTTCGGTTGCCATTCCCCTTTTGCTCTTGTTGCTTTGCTATCTTCTGCCTCAGAGCCAGCCAAGTATGGACTGAAACCTCCACAAACTGTGAGCTAAATAAACCTTTCCTTCCTTCATTTAGGGCATTGGGTATTTTGTCTCAGCAACGAGAGAGAAGTTACTAAGACAAGGACCAATTCACAGAACAACTTAGTCACAGGAACATAACTTGATCATTAAATGAGGAATGTCTGTATAGCACTCCGTGATGTTAGAAGAGGGACTTTGTTTTCATTGCTATTTCCCCAAAGCTGAAAATTATACCTACTGCAATGACAGGGTTCCATTAAGATTATTGAATGAATGATTTATAAATGAATCAGTACAATCTGGTCATTTTACCAGCTATATATTTTTCTTTTGTTTGATTATCATACTGTGTGTCAAGATACTAGAAACTGAGAA